ATATGACTAAACATGGATGCGATTGAACGAATATTGCCCGCAAAATCACTATAATTAACCCCTTTTCGCGGACTTTCTTTCTTCGTTTTTTTTTCTTTCCTTCTTTTCTTCTTTCTTTCTTTCTTTCTTCAAAAGGGCGAGAACATACCCAGGCCAAAAGAAGTGTTTTGTTGTTAAAAAACCTCGTTGTTTAAGTTGCTCATTTGGAGCCAAAAAGGCTAGAGGGCAAAGCGTCCTATCTTGATTTCAATGTTTTTGTTTTGAATTAGACGGACATCCAAACGCTTACGGGTTTGTGCTAGTTATAAAAAAAAATCGAGAGAGCGTGCACAAAATGAGAAGGAAAACGGAAGCGAAGTGGTGGGTTTAGATCATTACTCCAAAGCAATTGAGAAACCATGGTAGTGGAAAAGAAGGAGGGACAGGTCATTGTTTTATTTTCCTAAGCGAACAAATGGGGGTGGGGAGCTTCCTGCGCACACCACCAAAAGAAAAATGAGGAAAAGAGGATATGACACAATGATGCATTGGGTCACTAAAGGAACCAAAGATTGTAAGCAGCGCACTGCGCTCACATCGTTCTCGGAGGGACTTTTTGTGTGAGACAAAGCCGTCCAAGTTTTCTCATTGACGCATCTTGCATTGGGATCTCGTCAAAGTGTACACAAAGAGATATGCCTCTCTGACCATATAGTGTTCCATCCCTTCCCTGCACTCTTTGTCCTCTCCTTGAGCGGGTCGCTTAGTCCCTCATTTTTTTTTCCTGCATCATTGTCCCCCCTGTATGTTTGTGCAGAAAGCATCATCTGCCCAGCATGCATCCATTGTAAACAATCATTCTGATGGAGATTGAATGTTCCTCTGTACAGCAATCGGGGTTTATGACAGCATTATAATGTGGGATAAAAAAGAAACAGCCGAGTGGATGAAGAATAAAGTGTAGATGCAGTTACGTGTAACGTTGCGCGATACAGAAAAAAAATCGCAGCGGATCAAACACGAGAAAAGATGCAAGGCTAGAAGCCCTAGACTGGAATCCATGGTTTTTTTTTTCTCTCTCTCCTTGACCCGGATTGCACATGTGGGGAAGTCATTCATCGTGAATGGTCGACTACTTCATAGAACATAAAAAAAATGCTTCCTTTTGCCTCCTACCCCGCCCCTCTCTTCGTTATCACCGTAATGCAAGTTGTTTGCCGATGTTAAATGTTGTGCTCCTTTGTTTGTTTTTTCTAGAAAGCTAAATCTTGTTCTCTTGATGTGGCCCAGACATGGTCCATACAGAATGATCCTTGATCCACAAAACTGTCGAGCATATTGATCCACCCTGATACCGCACGTAGATGCGTAACATCGCTTCTGTTTCTAGTCCCTTTCATGGAGTTCGGCACAGCATAAGAAAACGCATTAGGGCCGAGTGGATTCGGATTTATGCAAAGGGTCGGATTCGTAGAAAAGCAATTAGTGTCGCGCGTTGATTAGAGCCATGAGGCGAGATCCATGGGCAAGAACAACACAGAAAACCAAGAATCTTAAGTTTAGTTGTTTATGCCGATTCCTCAGGTTTCGTAACCCTTGTAAGGTTAACCCTCGGCCAGATCGGCCAGATCGGCCATTCAACGGCTACGGAATCACTGTGGACGTTGGGACTGTGAAGCACAAGATTTCAGAGATGTGATATCTTGGGCAGACGACAACGCTGCCTTGAACATTTGGCCAAGAATTCAGAAGCGTAGACAAGACTTTCTGGCACAAGTTTATGGATCGGGGGAGGTTTTTTTTTTTTTTTTTTTTTCGATATAGACTCTGAAAGAGGTTTTCTATTTCTCTTTCTCTCCTGGTTGGTCCTTTTTTTTTTGTCCGCTCTGCATGAACAATATATTCTTTAGCGTGAAAACATGAACATGTAAATCAAGGAGAGTGAACGACCTGAGCTGGGTCCTTGAAGCGATTATCGGCAAGAGTGGGTCTGGCCCGGAGATGTACAGTAAGGCAGCTCCTCGAACAGTAATAAATGCTGCAGCCAACAAATGCAGGTGGAACAGCTGTCGATTCAAAATGAGTAAGGATCTTACCCTTTACCTCCTCCCTCGGTTTATTCGATCTAATACTGGCAAAAAAAAAAAAAAAAAAAAAAAAAAAAAAAGTTGTAACCTCTGTGTTTGATGCAGGATTCTAAATTCTCCGGAGGACGACCAGGAGCCACAATGGTCAAGACGATGTGGCAGAGAGGAGGAAGGGACCCTAAGATACCTTACTTGAGGTATATAGCCCGATGGGTAAGGTGCATTCACTGTTTGCCCTAGACTAGGGTGGTGGGCAAGGATATGCATGCGACATTAGATGGGATATGAAAAGACAGAGGTTAGGGTACAAATGCGCTTGTACAGCTGACTCTACTCTGACTGTGGTTATGTGGTGCGCTAGGAGATTGATCCAACAACAACAACAACAACAACAGCAGCAGCAACGACAATAGCCCCAAGGGTGCTCCTGGTCGCAAGAGAGTGAATGCTGTGTCGCGAGAGGGATATACGTTAACCCATCCAGGCACCTTTTTAGGTAGGCATCGAGAAACAATGTGGAGTATGTACTGAACAGTCACCCTCCAGTAATCCGACGGACTACTGGAGGAAGTGCCCTCAAGTATTCAGTCCAATTGAAAGATATATAGAATATAGGTTTAAGGTGGCATATGTCTTGTTTCATTCATTTTTATTGCAATCATCCTATCTAGAAAGGACTCTGCAATCTGGAGTTATCGCTGTCAAGGATGTCGTGGGTGGTATTAGCGAGGTCCTGATAGATTTCTCGTATAAGACAACCTCTTTTTGCGTGGGTTCGATTCCAACAATGAGTATTCTTCGGGGATAGACGCAGCAGTACTAGCGGTGCGATTACGGAGAACAAAAACGACCCTCGCTTCCCTCGGCCTCTGGGGAGCCTCATAATCTATGTCTAAATCGTTAACCTCATCAACTTCGTCCTCATCGATAAAATCACTCGCGCTGCTTGAAAACGCACGAGCACGAGCTATAATCTCGAGCTTCTTCTGGCTGCATCGAAGCTTGAAAGACCGAATAACGCCAACGTTCAGAGGCTGGGTAAGGGACGTTGTGTTGGTGGCAGTCGTATGATAGTAACGTTGGTAAGACCTGCGTCCTCGCTTTTACCATGCCTTCCTGCGCTATCGATAAGTCGGCCTATCTTGCGTCCTTGTTGTTGCATATCCTTATCTAAGTCTTTAAGCCATTCGTCGAACAGAGAATGGATCATATATCCGCTGCATTTAGTGTCAGCATCAATGAGCCCCAGCGTCTCTTCATTCAACCCCTGGGGATGGCTCTTCGCTATAAACAACAAAATGCAATAATAGATCTAGTGAGTATCATTGCGAAGATCATTGCTCGAATGTGCAGTTATATCTCACTTACATAGCACAAACAGCTTGCGTTTGTCGGAGCCGGTAGCATTGCTGCAAAGCAAGATCGACATACGAGCTGCTGTTCGAACGATCTTTTTGTCGCGAATCTGACCAGTTTCAAGTGTTTTGTTCGAAAGGGTCTTGAGATAGAGGCTAGTTTCACCACAATTGTAGATATCGTTGGGGGTTAAAGTCAACGAACTTCCTTTGAGCGTCCTCAATCTGGGGCAGATAACTTGCTAGATCCACAGAACCGCTTTCGCCATGCCCAGTGTACTTCGAGATTCCCCGCCGAGTCTTGCAATTGAGTTCGGTCTATGATTACTGACGTAGTAATCCTTCATGGCGTCCCATAAAACCGCAGCTGTTCCTTGCAGGCGAGCATCTGTCACATTGATGCCTATTGAAAAAGAGTGTTTGCGCTCTAGGAGGAGCATTTAACATAACAGAAATGAATAAACAGCTATCATACCGAATTTTCTTTATGCCATATACCATTCGTAAAGGGCATCTTCCACGGCCTTCATTGTTCGCTTACGACTGCGCAAGACATTCTTGGTAGCTCGGGGTGGCTTTCCCTTTATGATAGCTAGGATATTGTCTCGCTCGTTCCATATATCGTGAGCCGTAGAAGCCTTGATGCCATGTTGACGTGCAATATAGGTTAAGAAAGTCTTTTCTTCCTTCTCTTTGGCAACTAGAACACTGGCGATAAATCGCGCCTTTTCCTCCATTGTACGCGAGTGATAATGTTACTCTGGTTCCTTGGAAGGCAAGACCCCATTGTTTGCTCGAGATTTGTGTCCGGCTTTGGGCATGGTGTTCGATGAGAGAACAGCGGATGGAGGATGAATGGAGGTGACAAGTGGGCACGAGGTAAGCTATATATTTTTTCAATTGGACTGAATACTTGGGGCACTACCTCCAGTAACCCGTAAAAATTTTCCGGATTAAATAGTCTAGCAAGCAGCATCATGGTGCGATAAGCGCCAATAAGATAGTTTCACTTAACGTAAAGAGCTGCGAACTCTCCAACAGGACGAATTGTCTGACTAAACCATTTGCTTAATTCCTCTAGTTGCTTCATTATATTGTACTTTTTAATTTTGATTCGTAGGGTTGCAGAGCAGGCCTATTGCTGTCGCTGCAGTGAAAGAGAGTAAAAAAAAAAAAAAAAACTGCATGCAATTACATCCTGGTATTTCCATCCCATCAGCGGTGCTGGACTAGGCTATATTTGCCCCAATTTTCCTTATATGTTTTCTCCATGCGATGCCATGCGATGCGATGCGATGCGTTTGAAAAAGAAAAAGAATAGGCAAGGAGGAGGAGCGAGCGAATAGTTGAGCTGACTGAATATTGCTTAGGAGGAGGAAGAAAAAAAAAATACCATATGGGATGAGACAAGAAGAGACGGCTACAACTGGCTGGCGTGGATGGTGAGCGGGCAGGTTCATAGCCAATGGAGAGGAATCCTCAGTGTGTGCTGCACCAATGGGACGCAGTGGGGGGGTTATTTCATTTTCTGTATACGAAAAGAAGACTGATAAAGACTGAATAGGCTTGGGGAGGTATTCAATGCGACTGAGTCGTTTAGATTGAAATTCGATTTACAGCACTTCATTCCAGGCACCCTCCTCCCTCTTCCCTAAACAGCAGCAGCAGCGACGACAACAACACCCTGCTGCAGCAGTGATGTTTGTTCTTCTGCCCGATTTCCCACTCAGTGCCGTTGTCTCTCTGTGCCCTCACCTCCCATTCATTCACCCGATGTCCGTATGTCCGATCGATATTTTATATTTCCCTATATTCCACCATTCAGTCCCCCCATATACCGATTCAGTCGCACAATATTCTTATGGCACCAACGCTGTCACTTGCTCCCCCCTCCTCCGCCATATAAAAGTCCTTCCCCAAAACCTTTTTTCTCTCTCTCTCTCCCCCTCCTCCTCTCGTTTTCGTGCTGTAGATCTGCACTCTTCCTTCTGTTCTTCTCTTCTCTTCTCTCTTTCTCTCTCTCTCTCTCTCTTTCTCTTTCTCTTTCTCTTTCCTCCCTCTGCTCCCTCGTTCCTTTTCCCTATCCTCGAGCCCACCCCCCTCCTGCCTCAACCTTGCGTTTACTTCCATTGCGCTTATCGAGGTTCCTTAACCTTCCTTCTCCAGTCGAACCTCATTCTTCTCTTAGTTCGTGTACAGTTCAAACCATCTTTTTCATCCCAGAAAACTCAATCCACCCTCTTCCCCCTCTTGGCCACCGCGCCGATCTCAGCAAGAAAAACCCTACTGCCCCTTTGCCACGCCGTCACCGTTGCTCCTACACATCCTTCGTATCCCCCCACATCGTCTGCAAAACAACAGCCCCTCCCCCTCTTTTTGCGCTCTCCCCGGTCCTCTGACAAGATCGGCCATCTGAAAACCTTCTAGGTAAGCACGCAGCTGGATGCTGAACACAAACTGGAACGATTCCCCCCCCCTCCCCCCATTTTCAGTGCATACTCTGGTTGTATACTCTTTCGTTGGTACACATGGTTTCTTTTTATCTTTCTCAGGGACATGGTTGGACGATCTTTTTTTTTTTTTTTGTGTCCTCCAATGTGCAGAGGGAGCGGCGTCTGTTTGTTGTCGTCCCATCCTGTCATGTTATCCTCCTCCGCCGAGACCCTTCTTCTTACTCTCTGATTTCATAATCTTGCTCGCTCGTTTGGATAAAAGGGACAAGGAGGGGAAGGAGGGGAGGGAGGGAACCATGGGTTTCCTGGTCGCAGTTTTGTTATTCTTTTGGGTTTGTATTTTTTCTTTTTTGTTCTTCGTTCAGCGTGCAGGATGATGTAGTTGTTTGCATCTGTTCTATCCCGAATTTTTTCTTGTCATCTGTCCTCAGTAACCGCCATCCCCGCACCTCCCGATCTTCCAACTCTGTTCCCCACCTCAACCCCCTTGATGCAGTATCTGCCCGATCGATTTCCTTTTTTTTTTTTCTTTTTTTGGAGTGGACAGGAGGGCGAGTGGGATGTCTCCTAAGGGATGCACAAACATATCAATCCGTGAAGATGGGGGGTTAATGCAACATGCGGACTGGTGGACAAGGGCAGCGATAGGGCGATTGGCTAGGCCTTGTAAGGGCTGCCGCATTTTTCGCGGTCTAGAAAGAGAGAGAGACTGACAATAACAACAACAAATGATTACAAAGGAGACACGCGCACACATTGTCAACAAAATACCACGCCTCTTATTTTATTTGTTATGGTGGGTATGCTGGTTGCTTGAGCGGAGGAATGTTTATGTGTGTGTGTGTGTGTGTGTGTGTGTGTGTGAGTGTGTGAGAGAAAGAGAGAGCTGAGAGCGATAAGGGAGGCAGAGAGGATGGGGACTAGGCGTCAATCGATTTTCCGGAAGCAGTTCCATCCATCCGGCCAATAGGTCGGAGAGGGGATGCCATATCAAGCGGGCGTCGACATCCGCCTCCCCTCATGTACATGTGTACCTGAGGGATGAGAGAATACGTTTGGAGTGTATATGTTGGATGTGATGGATGAATATGTGAGGAGAAAAAAAAAAAAAGGCGCTTCTTCGCTTATCCATGCAATGGTGGCGCTTTTTTTTTTTTCTTTTTTGGCTGGTGGATGGCATGCACGCCGGCAGAAGACGTCTTCAGTGGGATGCATGGGGGGGTGCTAGGGGGCCATCGGATACGCGAATAATGGGGGGGGGGGGGGGGGGGGTTGGCAGCATGGGTTGGGTACGCCAGAGAGGGTACATTGACGTACTTCATAAAAGTAGAAAGAGGAAGTGTGGCGGGATCTCGCCATCAAGCCTCATCTGCACCTGGGGATTGATTTCAAATTCGCTCCATCTCTCTTCTCATCTCAATGGCCACTGGAAGAACAAAGTTCCTGTCCAACTAACATCTCATCTCGCTCCCTCTTCTCTTCCAGACAGCCGTCGTCCTCCCCCCTCTACCTCTTTTTCTTTTGTCACACTCCACCGTCGAGCCATGAGCATCGTCGAAACCTTCCACGGGTATATCGAGACCACCCAAGACACTCTCCTCATCTTCGAGGCCTGTCGTCGCGGTCTCTTGCCACGTATCTGTCGGCGACTTCAGGAAAAGGAGCGTCGCATCGTCCAGTCCGGCACCGTCTTTGTCTTTGACGAGCGCGAGTCCGGTATCAAGCGTTGGACCGATGGTCTCGTCTGGTCTCCATCCCGCATTCTCGGCAACTTCTTGGTCTACCGCGAGCTCGACAAGCGCAACTCGGGCAAGAAGGACGCCTCGCCCATCGACCGTGCCTCGCGCTCCAGCTCCTCAAGCGATGTCGAATCTGCACTGGAAAAGAACAAGGAGCGTGCCCTCGTCGGCTCGCTCACTAACAGCTACCGTTTTAAGAAGAACGGCCTCGTCAAGAAGACCATGTCGATCGTCGTCAATGGCGTCTCTCAGCATCTGATTTCGTATTATTCCAAGGACGATGTCTTGGCAGGCAAACTGCGCACGCCATCCTCAGTCCCTGAGCTGGCCAGTCTTGAGATCAGCCCCGAGTTCCTGATGAAGCAGAACTTTAGGATCCCACCTACCGTCGAGCAACCATACGATCGTGAGTACAACAACAACAACAACGGCAATAACAGCAACAACAACAGCGGTAGCAGCAACAGCAACCACAGCAATGTATTGGGTGTGTCAATGTGATGACTGGCATATGTGTGGCGGTAGTTTAGGCATGGACCACTGGAGTTGGCTTGTAGTGGAATTGGACTGAAAAGGCTTTTAGTCTAGGCGGACCGATGATGATCACCGGTGAATCTGAAAGACGATTTGAACAAGCAAGAGAGATTGACACGACTTCTTGTTCACCGGGTTGTTGGGTTTCTGGGCTGCTGGGTTGTTTGCGCTATGTATCTTCTTCTGCATACTCTTATGCGCAGAACAGGTGCCATAAGAAGGGGAGCGGGCGGGCGGGCGCGGGAGAGTGGGTAGAAAGAGTGTTTATCTGTCTTCATTCGGCTGAGCAGATGACACGATACGCTCTTTGCAGAGTTGCACAAAGAAATCATTTTACATTTACACTCATGGCGTAAGGGAAATTTCTTTTTCTAAACCGGTTTCCTCTCCTTCTGACAATGATAGTGAGCGACCACATGCAGTCCCCCGTCTCCAACAACCACAGCCCGCGCACTCCCAGCGGCCCCTTCCACACCATGGGCGCCAATGGAGCCGATTTCACGCCTGCTGGCTTTGGGAACCATGTCCGACCCAAGACAGAGCCCGACCTCGTAGGGTCTTCGCCCCTGGATGTCTTCAACAAGCCCTACCACCACCAGCAGAGCCATCACCACATGCACTCACCGCAGCAAGGATACCATGGGATGGCCCACTTTGGCGGACCCCAGCATCATCATAACTCTCCTCATGCCTATAGCCCACAGCACGCCACCTTCCCCCCCAACTTTTCATATGGCCCCGTCTCCAACGGCAATGGCACTTCGGTCCCTGCTCAAGATCAGACATCGACCACTCCACCACCTATTCGATATATGCCCTCCCGCAACCAGCAGCAGTCCTTCGTACCCTATCCAGCGACGACCCAGGGCCAGTCTCCACAGTCCTCTCAGGGTTCACAGCAGCGCCACAGCCTTTCTCCTGGGCAGTACGGAGGAGGATCGCCTGCGATGATGATGCCGAGCTCAAGCAGCAATGGTCACATCTCTGCACACGACTTTAACCTGCAGATGGGTTACCACTCGCCCGTGACAACAAGTCCCAGCACATTTGGCGGCATCTCCGGCGGCTCACCTCAGTCCAGCCATCCTCAGTCATCACATCATCACCATGCTTCGCTTCCACCAACGACACAAGGCTGGAGCGACTTTAGCTATCAGTCCTATTCTGCAGGGCCCATCTCGGATCATCATGACCAGCATGACCATGACAGCTCATCTCCTTAAGTTGGGGCTCGTTTCCGGCCGAACCGCTGACCAGGATGCAAATATCCACCCATGCCAACGCCAATGCTCTTTATAGACGGACATGGAAAAGGAAAAGATCCTAGAGTGGAGGTCATTTGGGAGGTTTTTTTCTTCGTTATTTATCTTTTTATTATAGATTCTTTTTATTTTTTTTTATCGCAGTGAGCGAGAGAAAAAAAAAAAAAGCAAGTGCTATTTCTACTCTACTGTTCTGCTCTGTCTTCTGCTCGTTTTCATTTTCGTTCTTTTAGTTCTCATTTTTCCGTTTCCGCGTTGCTGCTTGTTTCTTTCATTCCTTTTCTTTTTTCGCACCGTTTCGCACTACCTGCTTTTGTTTGATTCTTATACTCTCATAGTCTAGTTTACCAAAAGTGGGGGCCGTTAGAGTAAGATCAACGGTCCTCTTGTAAAAAGACAGCCTCTCTCTCTCTCTCTCTCTCTCTCTCTCTCTCTCTCTCTCTCTCTCTCTCTCTCTGTCTCTCTCTCGTATTCATATATACAATATAATCCTCAATTGTACCATTAACCTTGCATTTGCGTATGGTTTGATGTGGTGTTTTGTATTGAAAAGACACGAATGGTTGCAATACAAATAGAGTTCGTTTTGTAACACACTTAACCTAATGTTCTTGCCGCGCAGTCTCCATCTACCTTTCCCACGCGACAGATGGTTTCTTTTTTTTTTTTTTTTTACGCCGCCCCTGGCAAAATAGCACGATGATCGACTCTATTTCTTTTTTTATCTTCCAGGAGAAGCGATTGTACACCTATTGAGCGGCGTAGCCGCTGAACACTAAGAAAGACGTCAGAGAGGAAAAAAAAACCAGCAACATGGGCGGAACCCTATTACCCTATTAAACTTTTTTGTATATTCGCGTAGTTAGTAGTCCTCTTGATTTGCAGGGTAAGGTTTTTTTTTCTGCGGCAGGGTCGATCTGGCTGCGGATTTTCTTTACATGGATTAGATAAAAGGAGGAGGGAAGGGTGAGGGGGGGGATTGCAAAATCAAAAAAAGATATCGTTCCCAACCTTTCTTTTTCACGCCCTCTATACCTACCCCGCTACATCAGAACATATATTCGTAATCACGTTCATATTCGCAAGGAGACAAGCATACAAGGAATGGCTGTCCGTACGTAAAAAACAACGATTGTGGATATGATCTCGGGAACACCCACTCTCTGCCACTTTACAGGGCGGGCGCGGACCCTTCAGGCGATCAAAGGGAATAGTGATATAGCAGCAGCAACAGCAGCAGCAGCAACAGCAGCAGCAGTACGCGGAAGGGGGGGGGGATTAAAAAAAGTATTGACGACTCTGTTCTTTCTTCTTGACGACTCGCAGGCACACAATTCGAGAACAACAACGAGATCGGCGTCTTTGCCATGCTCACCAACAGTTACTGCCTTGTCGCCCTCGGTGGTTCAGAAAATTTTTATAGGTAAACCTGTCCTCCTTAAAAAAAAAAGAAAAGAACCGAGCGCCATATTGTTTGGGCCCACCCTACTCTTAGAACCCTTCCTCACCTTTTCTCTCTTTCTCTTTCTTTTTTATATATACAAAACCTTGCCATATTAGTGTATTCGAGCAAGAACTAAAGGACATCATCCCAATAGTCCACACCTCCATTGCCTCAACCCGGATCATCGGCCGCCTCTGCGTCGGGAACCGCCACGGCCTCCTCGTGCCCTCGACCACCACGGACCAAGAACTCCTCCACCTCCGAAACTCCCTCCCCGCGACCGTCCGCATCCAACGCGTCGAGGAACGTCTGTCCGCGCTCGGGAATGTTATCGCCTGCAATGATTATCTGGCCCTCGTCCATCCAGACCTCGATCGCGAGACCGAGGAAATCGTTGCCGATGTCTTGAACGTCGAGGTCTTCCGACAGACCATCGCTCAGAATTCGCTGGTGGGTTCCTACTGTAGGCTGACGAACCAGGGCGGACTGGTTCATCCGCGCACATCTATTCAGGATCAGGATGAGCTGTCTTCCTTGCTTCAAGTACCACGTAAGTCTTCGTTTTTTTATCACTCGGATGTCCTTGAAAATAACATGTCCTGTTGTCCTGTTGTCCTGTTGTCCTGCTGTCATGTCCGTCAAATAACACTCGTAACCTTTTCCTCCATTCTTCTCTCGTAACAGTTGTCGCTGGCACCGTAAATCGCGGTTCAGACGTGATCGGCGCAGGCCTGCTCGTCAACGATTGGTGTGCCTTCGCAGGCCGCGACACCACCTCCACAGAACTCTCCCTTATCGAAAACGTCTTTAAGCTGCAAGATCAGGGTCCCACTGCCGTAATCGAGGATATGCGTGATTCTTTGGTCGATTCCATGCTCTAAAACTCCCATCCTCCTCCTCTTCCTTCTCCTACCTGTACTTGCATTATTTCTCCTTCATCCACGTCAACTGTAGCATATCCATCTCGAAAGTAAAAAAAAAAAAAACTACATCCGAGAGCAAAAACTGCCTTCTGCCTGATGTCTTTTATTTCAATGATTCAACTTGTGAAAATGCCCACGTATCAATCCCTTCTCTCTTCCTCCTGATATGACCTCTATTCCCACAGATACCGTTGTCTTGCTCTCGCACTCAGGGTTCGCCAGCTGCCAACACAACCTTGATTTTCTCGCGCAACTCCTTGCTGATCGGGTCAAACACCTTCGGCAAATTCTCCCACTCCTTTTGAACACGACCCTTGAGCTCGCTAAACACTGGCCACGCATGCAATGAACCTGCGGACGACAGAATACGATCCTCTTCGGTGGCCATAGATGGAGTCACAGATGGTGCAAACAGCGAAGACGTTGTTCCCGTCGCAGCCAGAGGCACTTTGCCGTGATCATAAACCACCTGCAACAGGTTATCCTTGTGCGGTATTCCATCCTCAGCGCGAGGGTAGACCATCGGGATCTATTACAATGGCGATTAAAAAAATGATATTGCATGTTAGCGGGTCCCAACACAAGGCCATTCTTCGCTTCATGAAGAGGGACAAAACAAAAGAACGTACACCCTGGTCGTTTCGGATGACATCGAAGATACCCGGCAAACTGGTCTTTTCAGAATCCGTCTTTGGATGCTTCATGATATCCCTGTTATCGCATCCATGACCCCCAAAAAATAAAAATAAAAAACCAACAGTGGAAAGATTAGTAAAACTCAAGTAATGAACTAGACGTCAACAAAATCACTCATTTCGCAACGATTTCTATCTCATACCTCCTGGTACCGTCCGCGTAGACGATATGACTCAACTTAGTCGCGAACGACAACGTATCGCGGTTCAACTTCTGAAGCAACCCACCGCCCATGCCAAAGGCACAGTTCTGGGCCGCAAAACCCTCCGCCAGCACTGCATCCAGGATCTGACTCAGTGACTTGAAAGTCACTCCATCGCCCTGGATCACACCGCATCCGCGGATTACCTTGTAGCCCTTCTGGTTCACGTCAACCCCAAATACCTTCTCAGCAGCGCTAAAAGAAAGGAAAAAAAAAAAAAAAAAAAAAAAAAAAAACCAGCAGAAAGCAACCAACAAAGGTATCAGTAACCGACGTTTTGCACCTACATCCACCATTTCAGACCCATTGCAACAGATATTCGATCGTACTCTTACCGCAACCCCTGCAGTACGGACTCGATAATATCTCCACTGTCCGGTCGAAGCACCAAAAATCCGCCCTTCTCCAGCTTGAAACTCGCAACCGCCGGCAGGACAGAATCCAGGGCCCTTTGGTAATCATACGAATCCATCACACACGCAAACACGCCCTCGCCAAAGTGCTCGATCATCGCCTCCATTGCTTCTTTCTCCGTGCGGAAGGCCATCATCACCGAATGCTCACTCGCCGGAATCGAGCTCGCGACGGGCTCGCCCTTGTTCAGCTGGAACTGTGCATAATAAGCGGCGCTCAACGTGTCCGTTCCCGTGAAATTGAGCTAATATAGATCGGTCACGAATGGCGGCATAATTAACTCCTGGTGATTGAAGACACGAGCAAGTGAGAATCCATTCTTGCAAGCAAAGACGGTAAAAAAATCGAACCCGAACTGACTTACAAGGTGGGCAGTACCCCCGATGACAGACTGTTCAACATTCGTGCACGCACGGAACCCAAAGTCATGCAATCGGCTCTCCAATGACCAGAAGCTATCCGCATCCACACTCTTGTCATAAGCGGCCTGAATCAAGTCCCTGGAGCGTCTCGACAGTGTCGCCACCGTGGTTGGGTACTACTTAAAAGTGGAAGAACGCAGCAAAACGCGTGCTGTGTTAGATCAATACGGAACAGCCAAGGACGACAGATCGTTTCTTGAACTGAAAATCTGTTCCATCAACAACCAAGTCGCGATCTATCAAGGATCAACGCAATTAATGATAAGCACACGAACGGGGACAACCATACCCAGATCATGGTCAACAACGTCTCCAGAAAAGTAACTAGTCGGCTCATATCCCCCTCGGCTGTGATCTGGTACGTAGGCACATGTGTATGGCATGCGGTCCCATCGGGGAGCGCCTCGATCTTCACAGGGAAGTATCCATCGTGCTCCTTCACAATCTATGTCAAGGAAAAGAAAAAAAAAAAAAGGCCAGGGGGTTGAATGTGTTAAGGTTTCTGTTCCTGAAATACGGTTGCTCTTGCATTTTTTTTTGGTGGCGATGCAGCCAGTCAGTCAGACTAACGCAGATAAAAATAAGTACCTTGACAAACAAGTCCTTTGGGAATGGGAAGGGCATGAACCCAGCGTTGTGGGTCGCAAAAAACACCTCCGCCTGCTCAATATCCTGCATCGTCCATTTCTTGGACACATAGTTTTCAATGCTATCATTTACATTTCCCAGAAAAAAAAAATATAAGCAATGGTCGCCTCGTCATTATATGTCCCTCCAAAGACAAGATTGCCGGTGAGTCCTGTGTACCAACATGCTACAATGGCATTGTCCTTTAGGATAGCTTACATAAAACGGATGCCATAAAAGACGATACGGTTGTCATGAGGGTCTTTGTCATAGGCCTGACGCATCTCTGCGTACGCGACCATCTTCTGTGCCTTTGGGTAGATGAATGGGTGAGTCGTCTTGTACGAATCCGTCAGGACCGCCATCGGGATGTTGAACGCCATCATGATCTCGCTGTAAACAGTTCAGGGGAAGAAATGTGTCTCGGGGTAGGGATATATCGAAGAGTGGTATTGAACTGAGTAGCAGTATTTTGACAAGCAGAGGGAGGGAGGACGATGGATACGAAGAGTGCAAAAACGCGTAGCAACTTGAGCCTCGTCAAACGAAAATGAGCAGGTCTACGGCAGTCACCCAGAACCCAGCACGGTGCGTTGGAGAAAAGTCCTTTAAGAATTTGTGCTGCACCATTACCACAAGTGCCCTTTCTGCAGTGCATCTGTACAATTCACTTTATTTTGCTCACAAAGGGACCCTTTTTTTTTATCGACAGAAGTGAGCTCCCTAGTTTAACGGAACCTGACCACGACATATGGCACTTCAACATCCTCGCCATCGCGGTCATAGCACACCACTTCGACCGTAAAGGCCTTGACGTGAGGAGGCGTACTCTTCCTCGAGACCGTCTCCACCAGCTTCGAGAACTTCATTGGCAAACGCTCCTTCTTCTTGTCCTTCTGCATGAATGAAGTGTACAACATGCTAACGCCCGCGGAAATCATCGCAATCTCGAGCTCGTGCTCGTTCTTGAAGTAGTCGATAAATTCCTGCAGTGTCACATCCTGATTGATCTCAAAGCGGTCCCACAGCGTGAACTCCGTCTCGTGGTACTTGAACTTGGGTGCAGCAATTGGCTCAGAGAATCCAAAGAACGGCAGCGCCAAGTTCACGAATCCGTTCTTGTAGTCGTCAATCTTAGTGCGGTTATCGATGATCTTGTACAGCTCCAAGCAGACCAATCCAGTCACCATGGCTGTTGTTGTCGCAATGGCAGGAATGATACGACCTGCAATGAACTTGGTACGATATTTGTCCGCAGGGTTGATGCCGTAGTTAGATGCACGCAAGTTTGATGTTGCCGTGATGAAATCGATGTGGAAGTTGGTGTCATCATCCTTCTCAAACTCGACAGGGTGGAGGCGGTACCCAGCAAGGGTCGAGGGCGCTGGGAGGGTATCGATCAACTTCTGCAACTCGGCTTGATCGCTATCTTCTGTGGGCAAGGTCTCGCTCTCGGTCACCTGGATCTTGACACCAGACTTGGGCTTGAACTCGGGAACGATGACGTTTGACAGCACCTGGCGGAAGATCTCTGGGTTTGTCTCTCCCTTCAATCCATAGTTGAACGCGTGGAGGTTGGCTGCCGCGATAATGAACTCCAGGTGGGCGGGGTCATCAACGTTAAACACGAGAGGGGTTGGGGGACGCTTGGGAGCACTCCAGAACAACGTTCCTGAGGAGGTGACAGAGTCCTTGGGGAAGTTGAACAAAAGCTGCTGGATGTTGTTGTTGAACTGCTCCTCAAACTGAAGGCGGGCCCAGGTAATGCACTCCTCGAAGCTCAAGGGCTTGTTTGAAACCAGGTACTTCTCGATCGTCTTCAAGGTCTCAGTGCTGTTACCTCTGTCCTTCAAAAGACCCTCAATGTAATTGGGCTGGCTGAGATAAAGGTTGGCATTCTCGGCTGGCTGCTTGAAGAATCCCTCAAAGGCATCACGGGCCCATTGGATCGTGTGCTCAATGGCGTTGGGGAAGTTCTTGAGGGTGCAGAGAGGAATAGATGTTTCTGGGGGATCCTGGGACGAGGAGTAGGACTCTGTTACGAATGGAACAACGACCTGGACGTTACCCTTAGTACCGAGCGTTCCTGACTCCAGTAACGATTTGCGGAAGTAGACGCAGCGTCTATCCATGTACTTGCGGGCATCGAGGTTGTCGAGTGCGTTGGTGACACCGTCCAGGTTGGCAAAGAAGTCGTCGTCGTAAACCTTCTCGCTTTCAACGCCAACACGCTCCTCGTATGCGACGACATGGCCGACCGTGGCAGGGTTCATCTTGGCGATCGCATCCGCAGCCGAACGCGACTTTAGCTTTCCAACGTCTGATGGACGGAACAAGAACTGACGGTTCAAGTTACTCTTCTCAATCGTGTCCATATCCGTGATGTGGATCTTTCCCTTGGGTCCAGTTCCAAGACCCATCATCGCCCAGTTCTTAAGCATCTCGCATCCGATGGCTCCTGCACCGACAAGGAACTCTCTGAAGTTCTCAATCTTCTCCTGGAATTCTCTGCCAAAGACAGCGATCTGGTTGTCGTGGCGAGAGCCGATGGGCTGACATGCCTCCTCCGTCAAGTTGACTGTTGTAGGCAAAGATTCCAGGGAATCAAAGTACATCCACTGATGAATAGGACTGAACTTTCCTGTGCATGCCTTAAGAACTTCCTGAGCGACAGTGCCACCAATAACAGCGACCATGGGCGACAAATCTCCAATAGCCTGATAAGAGAGTTCACGAATCAGCTTTTCATCCAACTCCGCCTAATAAATGCAAAGAATTATTAATGAAGGCCAATAAAAGTGGATTAGTAGCTGATATGAGTTGGATACTTCCTGAAAATTAAACAAGGGAGCAGATAGCCTTACCTTCTCGGTAGCCTTGTTGTTAATCTCGTTTGCAAGAGCGAGCACTTCTGTGGCATCCTCCTCATTTCTTGGGCGAGGTTGACGACCGTGCTTAGCAGCAAAAGCGTGCAAAGCTTGGAATCCAACATGGAGCTGGGCAGGGCGATCAAACTTGCCGAAATCTGTAATCAAGAACTCGGGCTTCTGAAGAGATTCCTTAAGGTTCAACTATAATGATGACCAGTAAGAAAGCATAAAAATGCAGTTGTTAATAAAGGGTTCAAGTATAGCTGCATAGCTTGAGTAATGAAACGGGCAATGTTTGATGAATAGCTTACAAAGTCCAGCTGCTTAGGCATCTTGACTTGCTGGAAAAGTCCCCCACGGATATATGTTCCCAACCCAGAGGTGTCTCCAATCGAGAAGGTGTAGGGTCCAAGCACCTTGACCTTTCTTGGTGTGCAACCGTTCAATGCCTCCATGCCGACGACCTCCACAAAGGTGACATAGTCACCATCCTCTAGACCATGGCGAGTTTCGTCCAAGCAGGTAACAATGCCCTCATTGTCTGCTGAAACCTCAGCAACCATTCCGGAAAGTGCTTCCTCGCCAGTAACATCGACAATGTTGAACCCCTTGCCAAAGTCGTTGAAGGTCTGAGCAAAGAGGCCGTGGAGCTCGGCAGAAATATAGTAGATTCCGTGGGCATGTGCATATTCGTTGAGCTCCAACTGCTTTTCTAGTGAGGTCTCGGTCACGACGATAACCTAAGGATGGGTGTGAAAGTAATAATCCAAAATAAGGTCAAACATTTAGCATCCCAAAATGATGATCCGATGCTCTGAAGGGTATCCAGCCCGCCTGGAATGTTTATCATACCTTGAACTGTGAAAGCTTGTCAGTGGTCAACTCCCCCTCCAAGACGCTGATGGGCACATATGCGTTCAGCTCTGCAAGACGTGGCCGGGAGACGACATCGCGGGGTTTGCCAATATCTTCCTTAGTCAAGAAGAACTGTTCACAAAAAACATCATAACGAAGAGGCTTCAGCATCCACGATCAAATCGATGTATGGGTCAGAAACGGCGATTAGATCTATCCAGACTGTTCCTCATACCTGAGTCGACAAGTCTGTAAGCTGGACAGGGGCAGGGTCATAAAGCGTAACACTCTTGACACCAGCGAGGACCACGTTCTTGGCTGTAAGAGTAGCGTGAGAAAGCAGCTGCGTTAGTCATCTGCGATAATAGAAGACCAAAGTGCGTCTAGTCAGAATGAAGCTACGACACTTACCAATTTCAATCCCCAAACCCTTGAGACCAACAATCAAAATGTTGGAAGTACCCATCTTCTTCATGGCCTCATGACCAAGAACGTATCTATGGGGGTTGGTGGCAATAGAGAGAAAAAGAGGATTAGCTTCTACACCCTACAGCCGTTTCCACAAGCTCAAGAAGGCTGGTTTGCACCCTGTCGACTGCACCAAGCTGGAAGCACAGGGTCCGCCATGGGCGATCCGCAGTCAGATGTGGCGCCGTTCCTTCCATTGGGTTCGATGGTGGCAGGCATGAGTATGAGGCGAGTACTTACAGCTGACGGGAGTAAAGACCCTCGTCGATAACATTTTCTTTTTCAACATCCATGCTGAGTACTCGTTGGTTGTATCAATAATAGAGATGTGTGTATGCGTAAGTGTGTGAAATGACAAATGAAAGAACAGAAATGAAGAAAGGAAAGCGCGAGTACCCTTTTTGCCCCTGCAGCACACTCCTTGTAGGCGCGGTTTGGCTGGACTGGGGGCGCTGTGACTGGATCACGTACGTCACTACCACGATTATATTTGTGTGTACGGGAAACCATAGGACTCGTAAGACATCCTATGCTGGGTTTGCACGGTTCCCCGTCCAGTATTTAGTTGTGTATTTGATTTGAAGTATGGCTATGGTCTCATGGTCTATGAACTCTGGTCTCTATTTCAGATACATTATGTTGCCTTGTTGCTTCAACCACTCCTCCGTTTCCTTTCGTCGAATATCCCATATAATCTTTTCGTTTACAGTTATGCCCGTACACCTACTCCCAGACACCTTGTCGAGCAGATATACAATGAACGTGTTTTCAGCACCAAAGAGTAGTGGCCAGTCCTCAATGCGGCCGATCGCTTGTAATCGAAAGAGATATTGCAGGACGCCCATCTCGATCGGTGGATCCATTGATAAATCGATTTCTGCACACAGTTCCACTGCTGCCGCATCCTGCTTCGCGCTCGAAAACAGGTACTGGAGGGCTCCTTCGTAGTTGAGTTCTTCCCCTGGCGGATCGAGACTCAGGTCGTATGTGTCGTTAGAGCTGCTGTTGTTCATGTTTTGAAAAATGAACTGGAAAGGTCCAGATAGTGGAAGGTCAATGGAAGAGGAAAAGAACTGGACAAGTCCGCATCGTTGAAGCGCTCGACATTTGTTTATGAAGGGGATGGAAAAATATCCACGCTATAATGTTCTCTACATCTGGGCGTATGGCCCCAGTTGACTGGAAACAGATGGACCGAATGGATGAAAGAAAACAGGGGTGAAGGAGCGAGGTCTATGTAAGCAAGTAGCAGAGACCACACAGCTAATACAAATGGTGTTGGTGAGCCTGCTCGCCTAATCGCTGTCCATTATCAATTTGCATACCTGGGGATCGGACTCTGGATACAGTATGCCGTTCTTGACGCGTCAGTCGTAGGAACGAGTACTTGTTCTTGTTTTTCGCGTGTGTTGGACCCCACTCCACGCAAGAGTTCTGGCTCACCCCGGGATTGAGGGTTGCTTGTCCCATTTAACGGTCCGTCTTCATCCTGGGGTGTTTGCTGGTCTACTCGTCTGTTCAGCAATCATCCTTGTTCCGTATGAGTTCCACATTTCAGTTCACGCTTGTTCTCGTCCACATCCGCCCATGTTTGGACCATAATACTGTTTACATGAAGAGTGCATAGTAGATGGTCTGTTGGCAGCTAATTCTCCCTTATTCTCCCCTTTCTTGTCCCTATCCCTCTTTTCAGTTCCCCCTGCAGTCCATCCATCCAACTCTCGTCCATACACACTTCCCGGTCCACTGTAAGGTACACGGGATAGAGTGCTTCATGGGGTACATTCTTCATTGCCCTTGGCATCTAGATCCAGGCAGCATTCTCCTCGCTTCTGAGCTTGTGCATGCACTCCTTCCCTAGCATGCTTTGTGCCATGTTGTTGCTGCTGAGGACCTTCTGATCTTCATTATGATGCTGCCCGTGCGCGTAGGATCGCTTCGACCTTTCCCCTTTGCTGTTTAGTGTGCAATTGCGACACATTGATTTTGTTACAGTCAGCCCATGTTCCATCTGTAGCCTCCCTTTCTGCGTATCCCTTTCTCAAACTAGTCCTTGATCGGGCATCCAGATATTCAAAAGGACTTTAGGGTTTACTGAGTCTACTGAGTATGATGGACGATGAGAAGCCAGATTGTTATGGAAGCATTTGATCAGGAGCAGTTTAAGAGCAAATGGCTCATGGGCAGGAGTAGGAGGAGTGAGAGTAGGAGGAGGAGTGTGAGCAGGAGTGCAATTGAGGATGCTACTGATGAGGATGACGAGGATACATGTTCTAATCCTTTTGAAGAGCGCACAGCAGCAACAGTGATACAGTGACAGCACCAGCAGCAACAGCAACAGCAGCAACAGCAGCAACAGCAGCAACAGCAATAACAGGAAGGACCTCATGGTGGTGGTGAGGGTCGCCATTTGCTCCTAATGGATGAATGTTATCTGTGGATGTTACATGTGGCTTCACGTACAAATGCAATTTACATCCACGTCAAACAAACGACGTGCGCGGGAAAAGAGAGGGCATGGGCCATCTCCGTCAGAGAGCCCTTCTTTTTGGGTGCGATGTCCGGTCGAAGGGGAAAGGAGTCCTTTTCGTGGCACGAAACGGCTCCGGACGATGACGCGCAACAGAGGACTTTTTCCTTCGTTCTTACTCTTACTCTCTCTCTCTCTCTCTCTCTCTCTTTCCGCCATTCCTTCTCTCTCCTCTTCCTCCTCTTCCTCTCCTCCACAGCCTCCGCTGCCGTCCCTGCGTCTCCGCGCTCCCCTCCCCACTCCCCCGCCTTCCCACTTTCCCGCCCTCTCAGGCACCGCGACAGAATAACGACCCCACGCTCAGATCTACATTCAGCGCCCATTCAGCACCCATCCAGCACCAGCACCCGCGCCGGCAGCATCGCCATCTTCCGCCCTCTCTCACGCACACGCACACTCTCTCTTTCTCTCATCTACAGCTGCAGCTACGGCTTGGGATCCGATATCCACAAAGATTTACCACTCAGCCCCGACTCTTTGCTTCCTTCCGCCTTCTCCTCCAGCTAACCAGACCAAGACCCATTCCCCAACCGTCTTCCCCTATTTTTTTTTCTTTTCATTCAACCCATCCACTTGCGCCCTAGTTCCGGTGACCCTCTCATTCATATCCCACAATCCAAAATGGCCATGGCGGAACAACATTCAACCAACTCCTATTTCCAAACCACACACTCCCGAGTCGACTCGAAGCTCCATTCGGATTCCTCCTCTGAAAAGGTCGACGATTGTGCATTCGCCCCGCTGTCACGCCCCATCTCCGGTGGTGGACTACGCCGATGTGCTGCCACCAGAGACCTGACCAGGTATGCTATGTTGTCATCACCACCGCTGCCGTCGTGGCTCTTGAATCCATCCCCAAGCATCTTTAACTAACCTAGGTTCTTTTCATACTCTGATACTGAATTCTTATGATTTAAGCATTGGATCAAACGTCAACTATTGCGCTAAGGTTTCTGTCGAATACATGCTCGGTGATGCCTCCACGCCGTTCCACGCTCCATCATGGAAATCCCTGTCGGCACCTGAGGGATCAGCCAGTCGAGTTGTTGTCGATAATGTACGCGCAATGCCCTACCGTCGTTTCTTTTATTTTTTTTTGTGCATTGTTTAGTCAGCGACTGTGAATGGTTGTTCAATCCGCTGAGTTGTCGAATGCGTTCTTATTCCCATTAGCTTGAGACTGTCCGCCGTTTCAAGAAGACTTTGTACACTCAACTATGTCTCGTCGCCGAGGATGGATCAGAAGACACATGGCCCGAGCTGAGCCTTTTCCGGAGAATAGATAGTAATGGGTTTGAACCAATTGATGGCGATCAGGAGGCGCTGTACATGTTTGCACTCAAGGATGGTGATCGAGTAGTGCTGCTTGTACACGAGAGTAGCAGCCGGTCAGGATCTGCGGCCGACCCTGTAGCACAATGGGTCGAGGCTATCAGGACACAGACAGAATTCGAGGCCATTGATGGCTGAGCCGTCAAAGCACGCCCCTGGCTCCTTTTCAGCAGCAACACTTCTCAACATTTACCATTGTGCCTTTAAAACATGCACCAGTCCAACATGGATCACTCTCGTTCAACACCTTGTATATATAAAGCATTCTTTCTTGTAATATACGCTGCTTCGGATTCTCAAGGAGACTTATTGTGAGAACATAGGCACATTGTGTATGTAGTAAAATATCTATCTGAGAGCGTCGCTTAGCATCTCCCATATGCGATCTGTAATTTTTGCGGGGAAGATTCCTCGGTCGCATACATAAGGGGAGGATAAGGGGATTTGGGGGAGAGAGAAGAGCTACTTGCTTTCGCTCTACAAAGTCGAAAATCAAAAACTCTCCTTTTTAGTTTTCTTTTGTCCCCCTCAACTCATCCCGGTCGACTAATTCACTCCAGCATCAACAACCAGGACAGGACAGGACTAGTCATGCTGACATCAAAGAACCAGGTCGCCGCCATGGCCATCGCCTTTCTGGCCTTGGCTTTCACAGCCGCAGCAGCAGAGGAGCCCGACTGCACCGTGACTCATCCCTCAACCGGAAAGTTTTATGATCTTCGTCCATTGATCAGAAAGGACAATGAGTAGGTTTCATTCTCTGCCAGAAGACACTGTTGCTTCTCAATGTTTGAAGAAAACATCAATGGGTTATCAGGAAACTAGAAGAGTCCGTATTTTTTTGCGGTGAAAATATCTAACGCGCATTTTGTTCATTCGTTGGTAAACTCCATTAGCCAGGACTGGACGCCAGATACCGGAGCGGACAAGTCAATGGATTTCAAGCTGAATGTCTGCCACACAGTGCTGCAGGAGGAACTTGATGTCAAAAATCCCGAGAATATCGCATCATGGGGCAAGAAGAACAAGGGTACTTCATTAGGGTAAGATTTGACAGCATTGGTTTCTCCCATCTCCATTTCCTTATTCAAAGCTGATTTTGAGACGCCGTTCATTTGCATCGCGAATAGCAAGCTGAGCAAAAATCCATTCTTCAGAGGTACAGCGCTCCTTCCGATATACGATTGCCGCCTACTTGTCCTATGTAGAGTCATTTATTTGCCATGATGTTAACCAATTAGAAATTCTTTTTTATACGGTAATAGGCGACAACTTGCTATTGGAATACACGAACGGCGACGATTGCCCAAACACCAACGGAAACTACAAAAAGTCGACCTTGATCCGATTCTTGTGCGATACGTCTGTCAGCGGTCAGGTATGAATGGGCTAAACCCCATACTATGCCGTGTGGGTACAACGGCCTGTGCAATTGCCAGGACTGGTCTTGGCAAAATGGATTTTGTGTGCTGTTTCTCAAACGTGGCAGTTTGCTGTAACAGCATTCAAGTTAATTTTTTTTTATGTCTTGGCATATGTATATACATAGGGTAACCCATATTTGCTGTCGAATAATAACGATTGCAATTACTGGTTCGAATGGCGTACTCCTGCTGCCTGTTCTACGGATCGTCCTAGCGGCAGTAATGGCGGTGGTGTCTTTGGCACGATGTAAGAAATGGTTTTTCGTCTTGCTTTGAGGTAATCGTTGACCTTGAAGACTGCATTAGACAACTCTAACGTTTTGTGTACGTTTGTGCATATAGCATTGGCGTGGTCGTTTTTGTCTACTTTGTCGGAGGCATTGCATACAACCGCATTGTGCATCATGCCAGAGGATTCAAGCAGATTCCCAACTATCAGTGGTGGATTGAGGCATTCGATTTTGTCAAGGTACGCTTGGTGATCTGTGCCGTTTTTCATGGCAAGGGGTTTATGGCATGTCGTTAATTGTGAGATGGCTGTGGTTGTTGATTCTAACACTCATCTGTGTTGATATGGACAAAACAGGACATGGTGGTCATCTTATTTGCCAAGTGCTACAGGCCCAAACGCTCGCAGACATATCACAACCTGCCCGTGGACTCTGAGATCAATACGTTGATCGATGACGATTACGAGGACGACGAGGTCTAGACAGGGAAGCACGGACACAGAACAATGCTCTTTTTGCAAGAAAGGGAATGAATTCAACTCATGTGGACATAAGCAGATGTCTTTGTTTGTTGTTTGTAGATGGATAGTTTTCCTTGTAGGCGATCTTGAGAATAAAAAAGGACGATGATCTTTCAGTTTATTTGGATTTGGGTTTCGTGATCTAAGACATGAGACATGTGCTATAGCCAAACGAGATATTGTGGGTTGGAATGATGGTGCCTGAAATTCCCCTGGACTGATGCACAGACAGCAGTAGCAAAAAGACTAAAAAAACTTCTTATCGGATTCGGAAAGAGCGAAAGAGCACTTGACCTGTTTGGTTGTCCTCTGCAGCGCGCACATGCATGTCCCTCTTTCTTTCTCCTGTCCCCTGCCCTGTAGGAAATGTAGCGTGTCAAAGGGGGCAGAGCAAGGGACCACTCTCGTACCCCGTTTACTCCCTATGCTCTGCGCTTTACACTCTGCACTGATTCGCCTGTGCCTGACCTTGAAAAAGAGTTAGGCATTTTGCTTTCCCTGCTGCTTCCTTTTCCCGCCATTACTTTATTCTCATCTCTACCGGTTCAGTTCACTATTGCTATCACAAGCTCACTTCTACCTCACTCATCTCCTCGCTGTCCTCGAAACAACTCCTCGGCCCTCGTTTTTTTTTGATCCAATCCCAGTTGACTGTAGCCTGTAGCACACACATTCACATCTATCTACACACGCTAAGGGCCACGTGCGAACCATTCTCTCTTTTCTCCTTTTTCTTTGCAGCTCCACCCTCTTCCTTCTTCTTTACCCTCTCCTTTCCTTCTGGCAGACAGACAGATTCCGTTTTTACATCTCATTTCACCACTGAGCAAGACCAATCAAGCGAAAAAAATAATATAATCAAGAGCCCACCTTTTGCCATTCATCTCCCTTCTTCATCTTTCATCACTTTAATCATTCATCATTTCCTCATTCCACACCCCACATCCCTTCTCCATCCTCTTCTTCCTCTTCCTTCTCCTCCCCTGGGACACTCTTTTATTAATCAGTTGAAGCCCCTTCTTTTATTTAGTATTTATATCTCACACTACTTTGGCACACTTACTCCCCTCCCTATTTATCATACATAAGCTCGACGTCAATCCTTCCCCACTCTCTCCCATTCTTTTTACGCTATAACGACCCCCCCAATGGCTGGTAAGTGTCCATGGGATTTTGCCTCGAGCTCGAACACGGGCTCGGGCGGGCTTGAGCTTGAGCTTGGGCTTGGGCTTAGATATGGGCTGCATGACACCCCCCTCACACCCTCTAAGAATAATATCATATGCAAGGGAGTGTGACCCATGTTGAGCAAAAACCAGCCAATGCAAGCAACAGCAAAAAGAGAGAGAAAAAAAAAACGGCAAATGCAGCAAAAACGTAGTGGACATTCAACACAGCACAGCACAGCACAGGACCAAAAAAAAAAAAAAAAAAAAAAAGCATCGTGGCGCGCTCGGGGGTTTTTTTATTTGCTCCTTCGCGGAATCATATGATGGGAGAGGCTAGTAAGCGAAAGAACGAAAACGAAAACAACAATAATATCTGAAACTGCGATTTTTTTTTGGGCCTGGTGTCTGTGTAGGTGTGTATGCCGTAATATGGTTTTCAGAAAGATGGAGTTTAGAGGGGGGGAAAAGGACACTAAAAAAATGTCACGATGGGCCATGTGGCGGAACGCATATTGTGATCAAAGGGAAAAAATAGAGAGATTAAAGGAGGAAGGAAGGAAGGAAGGAAGGTAGAGGAAAAAACGAGAAGAGGCAGGGTTGAATCAATTGTTGTGGTGGTCTGACATCTCTTTCTTGTGCCTGAATTGTGTATGTCCTGTTCAAATAGATCTCGGCTTGTACTTTGGAGAGGAGGATGACGAACAGCTCGTTCAGGAGGACAAGGCACTCTCATACCTTGTTCTCACCGGTGAACAGGACGACTCTTTTGATCCAGTCGATACCGAGAACCTCTTGGCCCAAATGAGTGCCGGTAAAAATATATAACGGAAATCATTAAGGCATAGCTGTAATCTGTCAATGAATGAATGGCATAGTTAATCATGTATCACTGACAGTTTCTTTTCTTAACGAATAACTCGATAGGTTCACTCATTTCGCATGGGATGGAACTCGACGAGGACACGGATGTGGTTCAGCTTCTTGCAGAACCGAACCTGTCCCCTGTAGAAAAAGCCCAGCTGTTGTCACAAAGCCAGTTCGACTTTCATCGGTAAGTTTCAAAACATACGGAAGTCTTAGCCTGGCTCTGACTTGGCTTGAACGAGGGGAAAAAACTACTTTGAACAAACAGGACATTGTTTTTCATTTGTCATCTGTCTGCATCGTCTTCATTGTCTGCATTGCAATTATCCATTTCCACCATTTGCTGCTCGTAATCACTTTATGTCTATTCGCTAAGAGAGAGATACATGGACGACAAAAGTGCTCCTCCAAAGGTGCTCCTCCAAAGGATAAAGTAGAATGCAGAGGCATGCGTTTTGTTGACGGTGACACGAGTGCTGCAAAATGTCTAATCTCGTGTGGTTGAGCGCCTTTTTTTTTTGTTCCTTCACTCTCATGGTTGGTTCTTTGTTTTACGCTGTACGACTCGGTGCTAACCTGTGGCTCTCAAATATAATTTCCTGTCTCTCGTGCTATATGTTGTACCTGTGGTTGTGCTCCATACCAGATCGTTCCTTGCAAGAGAAATGCCCATACTATTGCAGCAGATGAAGACAAGCCGAGCCATCGCCCATCTCATACCCATCATACGCGACTTTTCCTTGGACCCCATTGACTCTGTCAGGGAGTCCCTGGCCTCACAATTGGACAAGATTATTTTGTATTTCTTTCGAGTAAGTCCCATAAGAATGTTGTGTTTTTATAATTTTTTTGCATGAGTGAGAGCAATTGACCCAAGCCAAGCAGAAAGGCCTTAACGGTATTACATATCACTCACTGACTTGAACTTTTTTTTTTTGGGTTAATTATCTCCTTAGAACTCTATTATCACACACAAGACTAAGGAGATGCTGGCCGCGGAGGACTTTGGGGATGAATATGATGACAATGGCCCTACACAAAATGATCAAGACCCCGGTCCACCACCACCATTGCTGCACGACACGTTTACACCGGTGTTTATGAACTTACTCTTGGACCAGAACGCTGGAATCGCACACCAGACCAGATTGGCTATCGATGCCGTAGCACAGAACGTTCCGGATGAGATCATGGACAGTGAGATTCTGCAGGGTGTGATCGCAGGATTGGAAAGATTGTATACTCCAGAGTCACCCGATGAAGAGAACGTAGAGGAGGGTACAAACGGAGATGATCTGTACTCACCCAACAAGGATGAGCAGGATGGGGAGGCAGAGCTGGGAAAGATGCTTGTGGTTGTGGTAAGTTCGTGGTTCGTTTGACTTGATTGTTTTTTTTTTTTTTTTTTTTTTTTTTTTTTGCTAACTGGTATGGCATTTCGGATTTTATTGCTATAGCTGTTGACGGCCTTGGCACCTTTGCTTGGACCAGAGAGGTGTGCTCAGATCGTTGTCCCGAAACTTGAAAAGTTTACCAATAATTCTCAATTTTATGTCCGCAAGGTGAGTAAAGCATGCAACGCACACAACAACCACAAGTTTGTCCGAACAGCACAACATAAATAATTAATCACTGCTTTTTTTTTTTCCTATCACAGGAAATCGTTATGGCATTAGGAGCACTCTGCAAGGTTGTGAGTCAGGATATGGTTGTTGACAGACTGCTACCTTTGTACGATATCTTTGTCCAAGACGACACCTGGCATATCAGACGCGCCTGCTGTACAATCCTCGCCTCATTTATTGCCTCCTTACCCGTGGAGATGAAGGCGACCAAGGTGGAGGAGATCTACGGGATCTTCTCGGTCGACGTTAGTCGCAGTGTTCGAAACTCTATCATGGAAGTATTGGGCGAGGTGATCGCTGGGTTTGAGAAGGAAAATGTCCCGGACTCGCTATTGAACCATTTCCTGGATATGGGACAACAGCCCATGAACGAGCATGAACGTGCCGTCATGTGTGCCTTCAGCTTCCCAGGTAAGTTACCGTTTTCATGACATCCAGACCTTTCAGAGATATGAAATGGTGAAAGAATGAGCACAGCTTAATAACTCGCCCAATCCATATCTCGCTTATTTTATAGCTGTTATTCTGACCGCTGGTCGGTCAAAGTGGGAGATCATGAAACCAGTTTATATGCGGCTTGCAAGTACCTTCCGCTCACCTATTAGGAGGTCCCTCGCCTGCTCCTTACACGAGGTTGCGCGTATCCTTGGACCCGAGCTGGCCGATCGGGACTTGGCTATGGCATTCGCGGACTGTCTCTTGGCCGAGGATGAGGTCAAGGAGGGCGTGCTCGGACATGTGGTCGAGTTCATCTCATGCCTCTCACCCAAGTGTCGATCAGAGGCCATGAAGGACCTGTACCGAGCATGGGTCGATTTAGAGAGATCCAGCAACTGGAGGATGCGTGATTCGTTGGCAGGACAATTACCGGCTTTGTGTGAGCTCGCTGAGGGTAGGGATCTGTTGCAGGTATTACTGCCCCTTAGTGTTAAATCTTGCACGGATGGTGTCTCTACAATTCGAGAGTCCGGTGTCATGTCCTTCCCGGCGCTTTGGGAAGCCAGTAACCGTGTTGGAGCCGTTCCCGAACCCAAGACCCCTGTGCCCAACTCTGCTGGACTTGACTTCCCAACGTTGGACGATATCGATGCAGATGAGAAGATCAAGAAACATTCACGTTCTCCGTTCGATGGCGGACAAGATCACGATCCAGAGGATGTGGAGATGGAGGACATGACCGGCGACTTCAAGGAACTGTCTAGGGAAGCCGATGATTTTTCAGCTCAGAAGGAGGATCAAAGCACAGAGCCAGCAACACCTTCCATCCAACCCTTGACTACTGTGAAGGAGCAGATTATCCGCCAAACCACGGATTTTGCTGTCAATGGAGGATTCCGCTCTCGAGTGGTTGCGGTCCAAATTATCCAGTCTCTTCTCGACTATGGTATCTCCGTGGCCGAATTCGAAGAGCATTTCTTGCTTCTGTTGGCCGAACGTCTCGCGAACGACTCGGTCGTCAACATCCGTATCTGGGTCGCTCGTGTGGTGACTTGGATTGTCGAGAGTGGATACTACGGAGATCAGGCTATGTCGCCACGACTGCGGGAACTCCTCCTGGCACTGCAACAGGACCCTGATCGTGATGTTCGGATGTATTCTGGAGGACCAGCAGAACTACCGAAGCCCAAGAAGACGAAGAAGGATGGTACGCTGTGCAAGGGCAAGAAGAAGGTGAACAGCAGGTCGTTGTCGGTCTTTCATCAAAATCCTAAGAGCGGACGACTTGAGGCATTGGAGGACGACGTTACCGAGGTCCATTTGATGTTTGATGGAGATGAACACGATGATAGCGATGAGGATGACGATGACGACGATGAGGACAACAACGAGGACAGCAATGAGGACAGCAACGAGGACAGCAACGAGGACAGCAACGAGGACAGTAATGATGATGATGAAGAGGATGAGGAAGACCAGAGCGAGGCAAACCGCAGCAGCGACGAGGGCTCTGAAGGGTCGATGGAACCCGTTGCGAATGACAGCGGTGTTTGTGTGACAGTCGAGGAGGACGATAAAGATACCCTCAAGGAATCGGAAACGGTCTTTACAGATCTTTCGCACGATATCATGCCCAACATTGCCAGCAACCAAGACGAACGTGGTGCCGGACTGGTTCACGAACTGACCAGCCAAGGTGCCGGGAACGAATACGCTGATGAGTACGATGATGACCAGGACGATGATGACGATGAAGAGCGGGTCGCCGATCGTGTAGTTCCTTATACCACATTCAATGCGAACGGTGCCAGCCCCTTGGATGTTGAAATGGAGGACACCTTTGAGGAAGAGCACAACTCTGACGCGGAAGAGGAGTCTGCGAAGCCAATTGCGACCTCGGATGCAGATGCTGCCGAGTCAATCGATCCAATGACGGTCGCGTTCCCACCGCTTTCACCTGCGACCAACCATCCCATCTCTACTCTACCCCCAGTCGCGTCACTCAGCTACGCGGCCTCTGTCAAGTACGGCGACGACAAGGCAAAAGCCCCTGTCTCCAATGTCAGCTCGATGACCTCGTTCACTCAGGTCAACATCCCGGAACCCCCACACCCTTCGTCTGTCCGCGCTGCCGAGGAGCAGGTGATGAAGGCCCTGAGCGTCAAGCTCGGAGTCCACATTAAGCCTCTACAGAACTCGGCCAAACCTACCAAGAAGCACAACGTCATTGTAGAGCCATTGTCCCCATCCTTCCCGTCCCTATCAGCCTCATCGCTGTCGTCCTCAGTATCGTCGTCCGTGTCTTCTGTACCTTCGTCTCCACTGCCGTTCTCGTACGCCTCAGTCGTTGCCTCCGGAGCTGCTGTCGCCTCACGCGCGTTCTCGCCACCTTTGACACCACCCATCACAACCTCAACCGCATTGATGTACTAATATTGGGACAACACAAAAATGTTGTTCGTACATGCAACTCGCGTATCATCAGATCCTTCGCACATACTTCTTTCTTTGTTTTTCTGTCTTCATTGTCTGCATATCCTTCATAGCACACGCATTCTTTGTGTAAAATATTTTCTCAGTCGCTTCTGTATCAATAAAAGTCTATGCTCCATGGTTTTAAGTCCATCGTATATCAGCTTTCTTCCTCCAAAGGAAAAAATAAATAAAAAAATAAAAACTTCTCAAGTTTATTCCAAAAAATAGTAATATTTAGAATGTTTAGATGACGACGGACCAGCCCTTGGGACCCTCAACATCGCCATACTGGATATCCATAATGGCATCGTTGATGCGCTTGGTCAACTTTCCGGCCTGGCTGGTCTTGTCTGAGGCATCCAGGGGCACATGAATGTCGTGTCCATCATAATGGATCCTCTTGATAGGGCACACAATGCAGGCAGTTCCAGCGCCTATATGTTTTTTTTTTTTTTTTTTTTGAGAGAGAGAGAGAGAGAGAAAAAGAGAGATGTTCATTCAAAGTAGAAAAATGATTAGCATCAGGCACCATATCAAGTGTCAAAGAGATAACATCGGGATCCATCTATGCTTGCTGCGCAAGAGAAGCAAAGATTGCAAGCAAAGGGATGATTCCTTTCAGCAATAAAAAAAAAAACGTCCGTCCAAGCATTGCGGATAAGATTTTTTTTTTTTTTTTTTTGTGACCCAAATGAGTAATAAGAGCCACGCGCAGTAAAGCATTGCGCACCCTTATCCTTCTTATCCAAGTTTGCAAAAAAAAACTTACCGAACATCTCGATGATACGACCCTCCTTATCGGCCCTGACCAGATCCTTCATTGTGAACTTGCGCTCCGAGACCTTGAATTCTCCCCACTGACGAGCAAGGGACAAGATACTGTCACGGGTGACACCGGGCAAGATCGATCCATCCAACTCAGGGGTGACCAGCTCCCTTTCACCCTGCTCGTTCTTCCAGAAGACAAAGCAGTTCATGGTGCCGACCTCGGTGACCTGGTGATCGGGTCCAAACAACCACAGGTTCTGCTGGTACCCTTCCTTGTTGGCATCCAGCTGAGGCTTGATGCAAGGGGCATAGTTGCCTCCGACCTTGGCGTCACCCGTTCCGCCGGGCCAGGCGCGAACCTTGTCCGAGGTCGCCAACAGGTTGACGGCATTGAATCCCGAGGGGAAGTAGGGGCCGACGGGCGAGGCAATGACGAAGATCATGGCCTTGTTGGAGGCGCCAACACCCAGAGACTCTTGTGTACCGATCATGGTTGGACGGAGGTACAGAGAGTAGCCGCGGCCCTTGGGAATCCAGCGATCGTCCACCTTGAGGAAGTCGCCAATCAACTTTGTGAGCTCGTCGCCGTCGAATGACTATTTGGATAAAAACGGGTGATTGTTTAGCAAAGGCTTCTATCAGAAAGTGCACAACATTCGTTAAGCAACTGAAGAGATATGGGCTTACGGGAAGAGCAATGCGCTGAGCACTCTTGTTGAAGCGCTTCATGTTCATATCCGGACGGAACAAACGGGTTTTTCCATCCTTATCCTTGTAGGCCTTCATACCCTCGAAGCACTCAAAGGCATAATGGAAGACCACAGCCGAGGGATCCAATTGGAGCTTGCCGTATTCCTTGATCTGAGGGACACCCCAGCCCTTGCCAGCCTCCCACTCGACCGTCAACATGTTATCGGAGAAGGTCTTGCCAAAGACCAGTTGCGAATTCTCCTGAAGGGACTTCTGGTTCTTCGAGGGATTCGACTGGAGCTTTGAAGCATCCAGAGGAGCCAATTGGGTGCTGTAGAAGCGGGAGGAGAGGACCTTGGCGCTGAAGCGGGATGCAGACGCGGCGGTCGTGTGGGCCTTGAGGGCCTGGCGCATGGTTCTTTGGACAAACATGGTAGTGTGTAACGTGTGGCGTGTAGTGTGCTGTGTATGAGAGAGAGAAAAGGGATGGGATCCGATGAGGAGTAGAGGAGTCGATTAGGATCGATGAGGGATGAGAAGAGGGGAGAGATGGCTGATTCAGGAATCAGATGAGGAGGAAGGGAGGAAGGAGTGTGAGGAAGGAAGAAGGAAAGAGAGAAAGAAAAAAGAGGAGAGAGATAATCTCTCCAGACGCCAAAGGGAGAATGACTGGTCTGACTTGATTTGACAGAAGTGAGTGGATTCAAACCACGCTGAGTCAAAGAGTGGGGGACCCGTGGGAAGAAAGGGGGGACAGAAAGGGGAAAGAATCACCCGCACTATCCAGCAATATCGCACTTTACTGAACAAGACCCTTTCACAATTCTCCCACGGGTCAACAGAGCAGCGCCTAAGTGCAATTGCTGTCTTACCAACCCGAACTGTCCTTCAAGAATTTGATCCGCGCTCTTGTTCAACGAACGCAAGCGCTGCGACAATAGGGCGTCTACCTCTGTGGATGTATTGCTGATGGAAACGACACAGAGGGCTGCTGAAACCCCCGATTTACCAGATCATTATAGGATTCAATTGGCACACCGGCTACGATCCTTCGTTCAGCTCTTCAGAGCGGATACACTTTGAAAGGTTCTACCCGGTATACTGGTGTTCTTGTCTGTGGTATATTACAGGATGCATGCTAGCCATCACAATAACACAGCAAGATCTTGTACGTCCACCAAGCTGAGTACGTATATGTTTTTTTCAGGCACTTTAATAGATGCACGTGGCATCCATGTGCCTAAGAACTGCAACAAATCTGGGGCCTCCAGTTTGGTGCTACAAACCCAAACCCTGCAGACACATTGGTACACGCAACTCTGTTGAGGCAATGTGGAGCTTGTCCAGCGCTGAAAATACTCAAATGAGGGACCGCATCTGATTGGGCTGGGTAGTCGTACAAGGTATGGCGAAGCACGAGGCGTGAGCAAGGAGGTTGCATCCCACTTCACTTGTCTCTTTCATTCTCCTTCTCCCTCTCCTTCCCGAACCGTCTTATTTTTTTTTTACTCAGAGGCAGCTGCACCATGACAAATCCTTCCCAGACCGAAAAGCACATCCAGCACTTACGAGCACAATCGTCGCCCAAGACAGTCAAGATCCCTTCAAAATTGGACAATGCGACTGATGAACGCTACATCCCGTGGAGGCACATCCAGAGGTGCTTCAAGAATGTCCAGTACGTCACGAATGACGAGGAATCCGTGGGGTTCATGACTGACTATAAGAATGAAGAGTAAGGTCAAGAATGTACTTTTGTTTAAATTACACGTTGAATAATCACGAAGAGCTGGATCCTAACGGTCCCTCGTTGTCGCCTTAGTGCCCCACAGGATTGTGCCTTGGAGAATCAGCTACCATCCAGGGATCGTGCTCGAGGCGGCAATAGAGGACGTCCACCAAGGAATCAGTGCTATACCAGAGACTGCCTCTCGCCACACTACTGTCGCTGAAGCCATGCTGTAATACAAAAACCATCCAGTTCAGAACACTGCAACAGCAGTTGCAACACAGCAGTCATTCCAGGAGTACATCTAGATCTATCAGTCGTATCTCGAGGCCAGCGTCTCCGGCCAGCCAACCCAAGCAGCGAGGACACAGTGGCCAAGCGCCTCGGTCCTTTGGAGACTCACGACGCCTTCCAGGTCTACACTCTGCAAATCCATATGCAGATCCTCGACGAGCTGGCGCTCCTTCAGAACCAAGTCCACGCTGTTCGCACCCTGACATACGAGCTGCATCAGTACCCGATCCCTCGCATGTTCATTGTCCCCCGAAAGCGCTACGACGTAAAGGACAAGGTCAGCAAGCTGTTCGCAAAGCAGTTCCGCTTGTTCTCCCTGTGCGATTGCGGCGAGCATACTATGACCGAGGGCACCACGATCCTGCATGAGATCCATCTGGTCAAGCACGAAGGATACGGCGTCGAGCAGCTAAAGGGGTGGATACGGATCCCATGCCCTGACGATCATGAAGCTGCTCAAGTATGGCTGTACTGTTGCTGGCGTGGTTGTGCCACTCCTGGCTTATCTGAACCTTGCTCAAAGCATCGAGACCATCGGGGAGAGCGTCGAAGTCGGCGCAGATGGCATTGCACCTCTGCGACGATGCGATCAGGTATCTTGAAGAACTGCAGGGCATCAATGGAGGACCAGACACAACGCCTGGGAAGATGGATCTGAATGCGACAGAGGCGCTGGAGGGGGCGGGTCTTCGACAGTTAGAGCCGTTTCTGCGCGTCAAAGATCAGAATCGCATCTTCAGTGACCTCTACCAGACTATCACATCCCAGAGGCATGTTAAATGGGTTTGCTTGTACCATTACCGCGACAACTAGAGAAGACCATGGCGCGACTCATATTCGTGCACGTTCTCGATACCATTGGTCATGCAGGAAGAGTAAATCCCTACTGTAACCCTATGTTGGCAATTTCTTGTCAAGCGGGCGATGTAGCCATTGGCCCTTCTTTGTGCATTGTCAGTTGCAGACGATACAAATATGAGCGGCAGAAGACGCGTCGCCGGACAGGACAGGTGTAGCTCTGCGTCCGAGTCAGCAGCCAATCACTGGCTTCTATCTGCTGGACGCCGTCGGCATTTAGGGTTATTTAGAGTCCATGGTCTGTGCTCCTGGTGATATTCTACGCGCAAGTCGCATTGAGGTTGAGGGTTGAGGGTGCAGCAAGCAGTGCAGCCAGGCCCCAGTTGCCCTTAGTGCAGTCCGTTAGCTTCTGCTTCGTAGCGTGTTTGCTGGCAACAAAGCTACATCTTCGGCTTCTCTTTTTTACTTTCGCATGTCCACTGACACAGTCAGTTGGATGGATATAACGACAAGCGAATCCGTGTGGATTCGACTACAACGATTGCATGTTGTGCTCATCATTTGCCACGGCTAGGTGTCCAGGTGTGGTATTCATGGTTGCAATACCACACTTATATCACCCATCTAATCGTGCTTATTGGCGATTGCTAAAGTATAAAGAGAATAGCCTTCCAGCACCCTAACATGTCTTCATACTCTCTTTCTTTATCCTTTGCACATTCGACTTTTCTCCTTATAGTTCTCACCTTGTCCTCACTTTCAGCACTGCGTGTCACTCAGTTCTGTAAGTTAAAGACCGTTCCTGCCCTCTTGTCTGTCCCATTTCTCCATCCACAACCAGTTCATCCCCAAAATCGACCTCCCACTTGCTCACCTCCTGTAAGCCAGGCCTGCCGATGTACTTTCCGCTTCCATAACCAACAGCACATACAGCCGAGCCCTGCACCTGATGCACCGTCAGCTAAATCGGCGCCCTAGTACTTATCCTTCCACATACATTATCCGCACACCCCATCACATAGTACCACTGCCGAACGGCGCTCTTTCTTGCCGCTATTCCACTTGTTCGGTCCTCCTACCCTTGCACCTATGACGGACAGCCTTGACCGCAACTTTACATGCATTCCTTACGCACCTCAGCACCAGAGAATGGATCTTCTATCCCTGGGACGCGTTGTTCTATTACAAAACACCACACAAAAAGCAGCCCTGGACTTTCCTCTACACATCTGTCGTCTGTGGAAGTACACTCCCAGCCCTTCAGAGTCCCCTCTAATCCTCTAACCTATCATTGAGTATTACTAAACTGTCGACGTCCTTTTCAGCGTTAGGCTCTATGACACTGCATCGATGACTCCGATTACCCTGGCCTAGGAGGAATGGGGGTCAATGCTGGCACTAGATCCACTGTAAATGGGTCTCCTAGAAAAGCTGGGACCGATGTTACAGTGTCCGCAGAGGTAGGGGCTGGAAAGTAGATTGTTTAGGTGGATAAAGAGAGCAGCTACTGAACGAACGCGCCTGCAACCCAGGAAGTAAAGATATGATGCTCTTCAAGGAAAGAGTGCTTAGGAGCAGTGAACATGCTTAGAAGCAGTGAACAAATACCATGAAAATTAGGAAAGAATGCTGTGCGATTCTTCTATTTCTATATCTTACTTCGCTGGCGAAAGAGTCATTAGAAAAGAAAGGAGCCTTGCAAGGGCTGAACCAACAACAATAAGGAATGCACGCTCCGATTAGTCCTCGAAAGGGGTGCATTTCCCTGCCAAAACTACCCATTCTAATTCTTCATTCGATGCCAAAGACAGCACGTTTCTCAAGGAGCGGCAGCAGCATAGGGATACGACATCCCTGTGCTCCCTTCCATACACCAAGTTTCGCACAGAGACCCAGGAAGAGCTGATGAAATGCGTCGAGTCTCTCACCTATTTCTACGAAACTAAACTCTGGTTGCACGATAGATCGTCAATCCACTCCGAATACAGCCCTTGTCTGCATAGTGATCAATATCACAAGGTCATCACTAAACGCGATCGGCTATATCTATCGTCAATGTACAAAAGAACAGCAGGAAAACGTCTTATCTTTACGAGCCTGCTACTTCACATTCCTCACTTGTTCAAAAAAAAAAAAAAAAAACGCCTCGAATGCCTTTCCATTCCTTCTTGCGCCAACACCCTTCCTCTCCCATAGTACGCCACCACAAACCACTACCACCGCCACTCCCTCCTCCACCAGCAGCAGCAGCACCACACACCCCAGCTATGTCGACCTCCTCCGCCGTCGAAATGATCTTCGAGGGTGCGTCTGCCAAGGTCTCTGAGGGCACCCAAATCGCCTTGTCGACTATCACTCACTCGGGCATCGCCGAGAACTATCTCACCCCGCTGATCCGGTACATTCACAGGAAATACCTGGAATCATCTTTGCCAGTACGTGTCGGTATGTGGGGGTGTCTTGCGGTGGTCACCGTGCCGGTGACTTGTTCTCTTGGCGCGTTGTTGATGGTCAACATCGGATGCATTATCGTTACCGCAAGTGCGCTTTTCGCGATGCAGGTATGTTGAATGCGCACATACTTTCTGATCTATTCGCTGATCGACAGACATCATTAATAACTAACATGGTGCTGTCGCCTTGATATATTTAGGTGTCCATTATGACGTTTTCCGTCTTTGTGCTCATCCCATTGCTGGTTTCGGTGCTTGTTGTCGTTGGAGGACCGACATCTTTGCTGATTTTCACACTGTACATCTGTAGATCGGTTTGGTGCCTAGCCTGCTCTGTCGCAATGGGTTGATCAACAAAATAAATGTAGCAAGAGTATGATGTTTTATTTTGCAAGCCGTGTTTAAGAAAAGCTGCAAGAGTGTCATGAAGCGTCCTTTGCAGGTGGTGCTTTCCTTCGTCTCTTCTGTCGAGGACCGTCTGATTCACAACTTGATTCCTGGAGCTCCTGTTTCTTTTGAGCTAATTCCATCGCGGCAGGTACTAAAAAGAAAGTAGAGGATCGCTAGTGTAAGAGAACGCCCTATCGCGATATAATGCTGCAGCCAAGGCTTCGTGAATGGGAACCATGGGCGACATACCTTGGATCACGCTCATGCTCTGTTGTGCCGCGGCTGTTGCCATGGTTACCAAGGCAATCAAGTCCTGCTCCTGGAGATTTGCTTGATCAAGGCGCCCTCCGTCGTGCTGCAGCTCTTGCTGCTGTACATCCTGATGTTGTGTCTCTTGAAGGTCCACTCCTGGCCGTGACGCTTCTTGTTGCTGACCTTCCTGCTGCTCTCCTTCTTGTTCTCCTTGTTCTTCCCGCTGATCAATACCTCCATTTTCGTGTTCCTTCTGCTGTGACTCTTGTGGTTGTCCCTGTGGTTGAACAGGACACCTTGGAGTAAATCTGTGGTGCTTTTCATAATGCTTCCGCAGAGCAGCCCTGTTCAAAAACTTTGCGAAGCACGTCGGTTCGGAGCACTCCACGGGCTCCATTCGACCTTTGTCCCCATCGTGCATGTTCTGCTCATGCTCCTTCAGGAACTTGAATTCCCTGAAGCAAAAACGGCAGAATCCAGGAGCAGCCTGGGGCGGCATCGTTCGACAACTGGAAGCCCCGATGAGTTTGCAAAGGTGAGAGAGGGTAGTCGAGGTCGGCGATGGGTGTGGTTCAGTGTGCTGTGCCTGGATCGTGAGTGCGGTCGAGAAGGAAAATCGTATAGGCAATCCATACAAGATTTTCACGCAGGAAATCCGCAGAGAAGAGGGCTGTGCTCAAAGTTACTTTTTTTATCATCTTTATAGTCTACGGATTGTTGCTGTCGGTGCATTCTTGAAAGGCATTAGAGCTATTGGGATGGCACTCATAAGGCGAAAGAAGCCAGGTCGTAAAGTGGGCGCTTCTGTACATTCGCCACGCGCATCATCTCTGTCTCCGAGCCATTGGCTGCACTCTCCGGAGTCAACTAGTGCCCCTTATCCTTCACAACCGTGAGCCAGCCGGTGAAGGTCTCGACATTCGAAACATTAATAGTCGAGAGATTGGACGTACCAGCCTCCTCGGGCGTGAAGATATACTTGCTGTTGTCAAAGTCGATGTCCTCGTACGCAACATCATCGCTAGTCTCAAGGTTTACTGCCTGACCAAATCTCAATTTGATGTCTCCGTGGCCAGTGCAGCCTAAGAATTCTACGGTGTAGTCTTGGTCGATTTGGAGGGTTTCTTGGGCAGCCGCGATTACACAGCTGATAATCTGCGCGGAAACCGAAAGGGGCCTCACGATGGCAAAAGCAGAGACGAACAGGAGCGTAGCGGAAGCACGGATCATGTTGGACGCAATATAAGAAAGTTGCATAGTGTTTTTTTGGAAATAAAAGGGCAGAGAGTGATGGGTTGTTCCCGCCAACTTGCTGGCTTTTGGGGTCGTTTGACGCGCTAAAGGAATAACGCTTCCTGGCTGACCTTGTCCCTTGTAATTTCTAACTTACCACGCTTTGGCTCGATGAGCGCCATAGGCCGTTGTCTGTTGTTTTATTGCGGAGAAGGATTGCGCATTTGTATTGTGCCCACTCCATTATTTAGGCGGTTAGTATCTCCTGGCAATGAAGTTCTTGCCATTGGATTGCATACAGGACCTCCTCGAGATCGAACCCATGAGTATCTCGGGATATGTGCCGAGGCTCAGATTCCATGAAATCGCGAGCACCACTCCCTGATCGTTAGGTTTATCGACTAACGGACAGGCACCAGGACGTGTAGACCCATATATTAGCGCCGTGGTCATCAGTTTGTAGTGAGGTCCCAGACCAAGCGCGCTCAAAGACACCGTTGATCAGCAACTTGACACTGAGCCTCTGTGGCTATTTGTTTGGATGTGCCATTCAACAATAGTACTAGTAATTCACGAACAACAGATCAAAGATGAAGGCCGAGTTGACTTTACAGGCATTTATTTCTGATGCAAGCTGGAGTAACAAGACAACAACGAGGTTTTTGTTTTTTAAATCGTATTAAAGCACAGAGGGAATGTGAGGAAACAACAGATGAGATTGAACAATGTGGGTGAGAGATATATTTGAGCAAGATAAAAGAGAGAAGAAGTGTAAAGTTGATGCCGTTGCCGTGAAGTGTGGTGTGTGGATGTAATAGGCTTGATTGTGTTACAAAAAGTATTGGTTTCCGCCGGCGCCGGATGATGACTGGGTATGTTGAACTTCCACCGCTGAAAAAATCTTAAAGTTGGATTCATCCACGGTTGGGCCGTCTAGTTTGAGAATCGCTGCAACGTTGCCGCATCTGTAACAGTAATTTGGTGCCGACCAAACTAGCAACAACAAAATGGAAACCGATTCCAACGCCATGGTTAGTCTGTAATTCTTTTCTCTCCCCGATCCTCAGAAATATGCTATCAAGGGTTGATTATACATACCTGTAACAAGGTTATCATCCGGGAACATGTATTTGAATCCCTCCTGAACAAGTTGATGAGCACGAGCGATGAGGTTGAGACCGTTGACATGATTGAATTCGCTCGTGACCTTGGCGCCAAAGAGCCATCCTGCTCCTCTTGGACTCACTCCCCAGCCGTCAATATCATCTGGGTCTGACCACATCAAGTCTATATCGAAGATAAAAGATTGTTGGCACATCAATTAGGAATTCCTGTCCGTCGTGAACCGTAAAGGTGCTGGAAAAAGCATCGGATCCTTCATACCACAGAAGGCTCCTTCATGTGGGATTTCCTGGCATCTTTGAATGGTACGAATCTGATCCAATGTCCTGACATCGGGTGAGAGACCTCCATGTACGCACAGCACACGGCCATCGACAATCTATCCAAAGAGGATAGGGCAATACAGATTAGATGACATAGTTTTTCGTTCAAACGACGTAGATGAGGCATGCGAAATACCAAAGGTCTGTCTTAATATCGTTCCTGCTCATGTCCTCATGCAACTTACAGCAGCCAGCGTTAAATAATCGAACACTTGGCAGCAGTACTTCCAGACGTTTGCGTTTCCGTACTTGGTCTGGCATTCGTCTAAGAAATAACATTATACCGAGACGTCCATGTTAGTTACTAGAAGCGAACCATGGAAATTATAGCCAACAATGACCAGTTCAGAGAGATTCAGACGCACCATAGAAGCCATATACTTGAGTGATCTGTCTACTCTCATGGTTTCCACGAAGAAGTGTAATCTTATCGGGCCATCTATCGATATTAACCAGAACAAAGAAAGATGACTTGGTTAGTATCACTTTCGGCCGAGCACAACGAAATTACGCGAATCTATGTGAGATACACAGTTACTAGCATCAGCGCTAGTCCGTTGTCTATCTATACCTTGCTTTCAACACCATTAACAATGTAAATGTTTCCAAGCTGTTAAATCCTCGGTCCACAAAGTCGCCCTACAACATCAGTAAGATAAAGGGCGTCCATTAACAACATGAAGTCCTAGCCCTTCCTGCTTGACAACTTGCAGAAAACCGTATATGTCTAAAGCACGCTTCCACTGCGCAATCCATGACCATGGCGATGGCCTGTATCCGTACCATAAAGATATAATTCGTTTCTGGAATCTCTCCTCCGACCCTGAAAAGCTCCATCAGGTCAAAGAACTGTCCATGGATATCTCCGCAGACGGTGACAGGTGAGCGTACCGGCTGGATGTTGGATTCCTCCATCAAGAGCTCTTTAACCTAAACGCGGCAGAGAAAACATTTGATGAGCGAGTACGTTCGCCTCAATCAAAAGATGCAGGCCAATGTGTTATTTGTTACAGTACCATTTCGCACAGCTTCTTGATCTCGAGCTCTGGCAGGGGTTGACATTGTCGGACTGTCTCGAGCCATTCGTCAGGTCCAGGCATGGTTGAATACGTGCTTTTTTTTTAGTGGTTATTGCGTGGTGAATTGAGTTGGTATGAAGGGTATGTGCTGGTGCTGTGTGAAATCAGGATGAAATTGACAAAGGCAATAAGAAAGTGAGTTGCAGTGCCTCCTTCTTTGATGGGATAATGGGCAACAGGTGAAAAAGAGTTGAGGTCCAACAAGCCTGGCTGATGCAGCAGAATGACGCCGAGGCCAATGAGGGAAGCGAGAGTCTCACTCGTACGAAATCCGCACATCTGCGCACCTATTACGTCACCGAAGTGGCTTCTAAGCGTCGCATACGACATGGGAAATCATCAGGGGGAGTGTGGGGGCGGCACACAAAAAAAACTAGTCTGACTACTATTCCTCGCGGGGTCGGCGCGTCCTCTGGAGAATCGCCATGATCTGTTCCTCCTCCTCCGAAGCCTTTCTCTTGGATGCCTTTTGGGTGCTGTCTTGGACGCTATCGAGAGTGCAGTTGTCGATGCTGCTACTGCTACTGCTGGTTCCCTCAAAAGCTTGGTGGTCCTTTTCCTCAGCGCCCCCGGTGGTCTCCGTCTTCATCCACGGATAATTTCCCTCCTCGTCTACCGGCTGCAGGTACAAAGGCCGCTGTTGGTGGAGCAGATGTCCTTGGACGGCATTCACCATGCTGTGGGCCGCCATCTCATCCCTGTGGAATGGAGTTCCGCAGTCCTCGCAGAAGAGCCTTCGGATAGACACCTGGGAAACAAATGTGTGACAACGGAGGCATTTCTTGGAGCTGTAATATTCATTAACACCAAGAACGATGTAACTAAGCGACCTGGCCTAAAGAGCGATGGCGGTGAAATGTGTGAAAGTCAATAAATGGACTATCTGTCGTAGGGACAAGAAATCGCCAGAGGAGTGAAACACTTACCAGGGGCACAAAGAATGCCAGAAAGGAGTCGTGGAGTGATGTGAGGCGCGAGCAACTGCTGAATTGACCAAGTCCAATGCCAATCACCACCATGTTCTTTTCGTCTCTTTTGGCGCCTATCGATCCCCCCACCGACCTCAGCAAACTGTTTGCGATTACCAGGTACTCCTCCTCCCGTGCACGTTGGGCATCCCATTTGTGGCTCTGGTAAAGCCTGTTCGAGCCATTGTAAAAACTGCTCAAGCGCTGCTCGACCATCTCGAGCTGCTGAATGTACTGCCCAACGCTTGCATCTGGCCCGCGGAGCGGTGGGAGGTCTGACTCAATCTCTTGGATCGATTGAGTTGCACCTTCCGGTACCACCCGTTTTTGCTCCTCTGTCCATCTTCGGAACTTGAATGTGGGTTGGTACACGGCCTTCTGGTTAACAGATATGTTGTAGTATGTCTCTGGATAGGGCGGATCAATCAAAGAGGCAGCAGAGTTCGTCCCAGAGGCGGCTGTGGAGATCAAAGAGGCAGGAGTGACCCTGTGGGTAGTAGCGGTTGGGAAAGCAGAGATCGTCACGACACGCCCCTTTCCTTTTTTGTCGTTGATCGGACGGTCTGTATCTGGTAGGAAGGCGCTTCCAGCTACAACATAGGCTTGACCAATATCCAGACACAAAATCTTGATCTTTTCTGGAGGGCAATGCGGCCAGAGTCGAGTGACATCGTCCTTGGTCTTTACGACATTCCGGATCTCCTGCAAGTAATAGTCGGTACCTCCAACCGTTGACGTCAGGCGAGGGGGCAAAATGGCATCTGCCAGCCTCCGATATCGAACTGCTTGCAACTCCCTTAACTTGTAGGCAGACAGCTGAAGCCTGAAGCCATTGGTGCGGAAAGATCCTGTCAGAACATATCCCTTGAGGCTGTAATTTCGAGGGTCAAAGTTGGGATCACGGATGGCAGACAAATGGTTCCTCGCATCCAAAAGGGACATGTTGGTGATTGCGCCTCGGTATCCCAACTTCCCTCGTTGCCGAACAGTGAGACCAGTAGGAGCGACGTCTGCAATAAGGCTCTTGATTAGGAGCCCTGGCTCTTGATCTGGTAACCATATGGTTATCACGTCTTTCTCCGAGGAGCAGCTCGGAAATGTGACCCTTGCCAACTCCAGAATCCGAGTTTAGGAGCGGTCGTTTCCAGCATAAAGTGACGAGCTCTCGCTCCGAGAACGAGACAAAACCATCCTTTGCCGAAGATAGTGGGGCAATCTTCCGCCTGTTGCCGCTCATCATGTTGAATGTCAGAAAGTCCTCCACGGCTGTCAACTCGTTATGGATCTCCAAGTCGTATCCAACTACTTCCGGTCTGCCTTTTTTTTGCCAACCTTGAGCTATTGTTGATAAAGCGACCATCTTGTAGTAGAAAAATTCCTAATGTCATGCTACAGAATTCATTCAAGAAATACACTTGTTACCTGCTCTTGTAGTTCAATCGCTCCATTGCGATAAATACGTTTGAACTCAGCGCCCAGCTGAGTAGACACACTCCGTACTAGCTCCGAAGGTGAGAAAGGTGTGCTCTAGCGTATAGCACTTGTTAGCCTTGGGGGAGTGTACAAGTTCAGCTCCTGTAATCGCCCAATGAAGCCAGTAACAAGTTTGCCAACGCCTCGATTCGTGGGAGGATTGCCCGAATAAAGATGTCGTAGAAAGGCATAAAGGAACTGACTACTGGAACTGTCAGGTTCGCCATCGATGTCGTCGTCAGTGTGATTCTCACTACTGTCCTGGCCGCCATCTGCATCCTTGAGTTCTACCCTTGGGCATAATCCATCGAGATAGTCTCGGTCCTTTGGTTGCATATAACCAGCCGCCATGCTTTCCACGTACAGAGCAATGAGTCTCTGAGCACGTCGTTTGGTCCTGTTGGCCTCTCCAACGGCCTCCCGCAAGCAGTCAATCATTTCGTCAGCGACGTCCGCCCTGGTTTTCAATGCCGCCCTGATGTTTGCTTGTATAGTGCCGATACGAAGAGTCGCCTTTGGGTGCTCCCATTTCAGCCCATTCCAGAGCTGTCGCTTGTCCATGGATTCAATAGGTGTTGGTGGCTTCGATGGCTTCTTGACTGGCTTCTTAGCTGGCTTCTTAGCTGGCTTCTTAGCTGGCTTCTTTGGGGTCAACTTGTTCTCAACTTTCTCCAAAGGACTCTCAGGCAGCTCGGTCCATGGCTTCCATTTGTAGCGCTTCATTGCCTGTGGAGGTTCGTGCGTTACTGTTTTCGTCCTGGTTTTAAAGGAGTAGCGAGGGCGAGGAGGAGGTGTGGTAGTCGAATCCTTGCTGTCCTTCGGAGGCGGGCGGTCGATGGTGCGGTACCTGTTGAACTTTTGAGAGGATCAATGTCGAGGTGGAGAACCGGGGGACAACGCACTACGTACAAAAATGGAGAAAGAAGAAAGGAATTAATAAAACACTGCAAATGCAATTGTCATCACAGACAAACTGAAATGTATTGGTGAGGCATACCTCTTTGTTGCCTGTCTGGAAGCTAACTGCGCCTGTTTCCGCTCGGTAAACTTGCTGCGAGCATACTGGTACCTTTCCTTGATGCCCTCCAATCTCGCCTCAAGTGCGGTAGTATCTGGTTTGTCATGTTGGCCATGCGCGATCGGGGTTTGGTGAAGATGGACGAAAACATTGATGCTCGTGTCGAAAGTAATGCCGCTTTTGTTCTTGATAACAACACGTTCATCAGCAAGGTATTCTTTCATTAGTGCCGGTACGTCTTTGGCTAAGAGATGAAAGATGAATGTATTAGAACAAGACATTTTTTCAATGTGAAAAAGCCAATGCATAGTACGCACCCTGATCGTCTGATCCTTTGGCTTTCATATCCTTAACGATCTCATAGTTGGTCTCGCATCCCAAGACGTACAGACTGCGATTGTAATCATTGGTCGACACAACACCCAAGACCGTAAGCTGTTCTGCCGTCTCGAGTCCCAGCGCAGACAACATGTCTTTTTTCCGATACTCCAAGAAACCGCCACCACATACTGGTCGCCAAACAACAGGGATGCTGTGGTAAATGAGAAGGTCCGAGTCCCCGCTGATGACAATGTCTCCTTCCATGGTATCTGTGGCGATTTTGACATCCGCCTCTGTATCACATTGCACGACCCTCCATCCGTGGTTCTCGAGAAAGCGGACAAGTCCGTTCCGAGCTTCCACATCCCAGCGAAAGGCGTTTGTGAGTTGCTTATCAACATTGGTAAAATGGCGCTTCCTGATATGTGCGCCTTCGGATACACGATCCATGAAAGTCGTGACATGATCGTCGGCGGCGTTGATGGCCGTTTTTCGAGCATTCTGGCGCTTTTCATGGGTTGCAAGCTTTCCCTCGCATTGAGCGCCATCGAAGTATAGAATGACTGTCGTTGAATCCATGATGCGTTTTACGAGATTCTTCATGACCAGAGCATGGGCAGCCTCAAGGCCACTGCAATGAGTATAGGCGTATCGAATCGTACAATAAAAGCTTCCTTGCATGTCGACGCGGAATTTGTTGTGTGGTTCACCAAGAGCTTGGCGTTGATTTCGCGGTTTTCGTAAAGCTGGGTCGTATCGCTTTTTTTTTTCGCCGTCAGGAAGCGCCAAAAGGAAAGACACCCCATGACGCGGACTGGATACCAATGGTGAAATGGAGAGTCGAGGCAACGTTGATTAGATATGAGATTTATACCAAACAAGGGCTGTACAAGGAAGGAGTGGAATGAGAAAAACGACAAGTGAAGAAATCCGATAGGTGGACTCGACCAATTGCAACCAAGGGTGATAAGTGGCAACGAAATGAGATGCAGAGGATGCGGAGCAATAAAAAAGAATATTTGTTCCAATAAGAATGGCACGTACCTGTGAAGGCAATGGTTCAAAGGACAAACAGCCAATATTGGTTATGGTAATGGGCAGAAGGAGCGGATAAGGGAAAGTGAGCGCGGAGGAGGAAACAAAAACGACACGCGTCCTTCTGGCTGGAGCGGGGTGAGAACTCAAAACGCAATTATGCAGCATTTGCGATTACAAGAAGGCATACTTCCTCTAGCATCACCCTTCCCGATATGGTAATCCACTCCACTCGTACAGATGACGTTTCCGTACGGTTATGTATCCAGAGCAGCGATTGGCCGAGCATTTGTTTGGAAATAACGAAGCGTATCTTAGTACGAGACTATTAGCGCTTACTACACTCTTCTTCCTTCTAACACAACTCTTCATAGATAGTTTTTTTTATCTCACACTGTCCATGGTCAATCCCCTCTCGTACCCTTATTCTTCCTTCACTGTCATTCTTTGAAATAAAGTACCATATTTCTCGTCGTGTAGACTACTATGGGCATTGAAGGCCTGTGGCCCTATCTAAAAAAGAAAGAGTATGAACCCGTTCTTCGCTATCAGTCCTCCATTTATCCAACCTCCCTAGTTCCATTGATCATAATTCCGCGATTTGAGTCGATATCCTTGGGTCTCTTTATGCCACCGTTCGCTACTCTTATTCCTCGCACCCTATGGACGATGCTCACCCCATTGTCGAGCGAGAAATACTGAAGCTTGGGACCCAGACGAACTTGGTTCTTTACCTGGAAGGCCTTCCTTTGAAAGAAAAAGAGCTCATTCAAGAGCATCGAGAGAGGCTTCGCAAGAAAGCTGTTGAACGCGCCCGACAAATGTCTGCGTGAGCTCGAGGTTCGCATGGATAAAACCTTCGCGTGCGGAAACACCAGTTCATTGATATCAGAAAACACTTGAGCTCGGCCTTCTATCAGTCCCTAGACGCTCGACGCGCTTTCGCCGTATATATGCGCAAGAAACTGTAGATAATCGTCGAGTGCTCGACCGAAATAGATCTCACGATGGGCCCTGAATGCAAGCCTGGCGACATCGTTGTATCAAGTGATAGCGACATGCTCATATACAAGAACGTCGAGACCATTTGGCGACCCATCTCAAAAGGAAAATCTCTTTGTGTACGACGTTCCAAGCGCCTATGTGACTTTAGATCTCAGCTGGTCCAGTTTTTAGTGCTCAGAATAGCGTCTAAAAACAACTATAACCACAACATCCCCTCTCTCGGAAGTGCAACCAACTACAGAATCATCAAACTGGATGGAGAAGGAAAACGGATCAATCAGATCATCGTGTATATCACTGATGCAGAAAACGTGCATTTTTTGGCTTGCAGACGTTGCGACGATGACGAAGCATTATTTGGCACACAATCAAGAATACTGCGCAGGAAACGTTTGTTATTTTGCAAAGGGTTTTTGTGAATCTTTTACAGACTCTTGTACAAATTAGCCCACTCCAGCTCAAGCTGCCATGACCTATGGCAGTCTTCGGAAGCAGTCCGATTGCCTTTCTCAGCGGCAATCCCAAATGCAGAAAAAGATGCGAGAGGCACGCGAGGCGGAGGAGGTATACAACGTCAAACACTGCCTTGCTTTGTAAGAATCCTCACTTGCATGAAGGCGTGCATAAAATTAACTCTAAATTATGGTAATCGCTACCAACTTTGTTAACTTAATAGTGAGTCAACTGGTACTAAGACTCGGCGGCACAAATCTTCGCAGACCTTCGCGCGATCGATCACCCTGCTCCACATCAGGCAGAGGCTGCAAGTGAGGTGAACCCTGCCCAGTCTTGTACCAACCCCCCACAATACCGACCGCAATATCTGTCAAATAGCGCATTCGACTTAAGGAACATGAGCCGCCTGAAACAATGAAGCAGTACACATGGAAGGCATGGAAGAAAACACCCGAGAATCCCTTGGATCCCGACGCTGGATCTTTCAAGAAGAAGAAGGACGTGAAGGAGAAAAGAGCGAAGAATAAAAAAAGAAGAAAAAGTAGACTACGCCAAAGCCAATAAGTGCCCCGACAGGAAAGGCTGCCTTGGTTCGAGCTATGAATTGGGAACATCCGCAATCTGAAGCGAACTTTGGGAGAGTCGGAATTGGTATCCGAAATCGAAAGGTGTCTTCGGGATGCTGTTCGGGTTGTGTCTGATACTAAGCGACAGGGGCAGCGACTCGTCAGGCAGTTCATTGAGAGTCTCTTTGTTTCACGCAACGGACAGAGATATATTGTGCAACGTTTGTCCATGTGTCTCGTCCAAGATCAAAGTTGAGGAAGAGGAGGAGGGAGAAGAATAGGGGGAGGGAGATAAGGATGATGATGATCCAGGGCGCAAGGACTCAGACCACCTACGCTTCCATACTGTGCTGTCCCAGCACCTCTACACAGGCGACCCCATCATCGCGCCAAATGTAGTTGTTAAGCGCATCCAACAGTTTGTCGATCGAGCAGCGAGTCTTGGGCTGCTGCAGAGAAGGAACAATAGAACTGCAATTTTGGTCAGGAAGCCATATCCTGCTGCGGTTTTACTCCGCTCTGTTGCCTCGCAGCTGTCCAGTGAAATAAAAAAAAAAATACAGAAACGACAGCATTGAGCTCGAGAAAAAGGTAGAGAACAAAATCCGTGTTCTATCGCTACATGCATGCCAGTAGCGGTCAGCTGTAAGAACGACAGCACTAGCATTGACGATCTGTTGAAGACGAAGGGTCTCATATCTGATGGGTCACGTATAGAGATCGACCAAGGCATCTCAGCCATCGAGAACTTCGTGCTTTTGAACCAGTCCAGCAGGAGTTACCGCCAGACGGCTCCACTAACAGGCACGGAGCAGCCTTTCATGTTATTCTCTGAGCGTGAGCTCGGTATCTTGCTTTTGGAAAATGCTGCGCTGAAAAAAAAGCTCCAGGAGCTAGTACTGGTGGACTATGGGAACAGGGACATCATTCCTTCTCAGCAGAACTTGATCGATTGGCTTGGGCAGAAGGCTTCTGGGTTCCTTATCACAGAGATGCTTTTGAACGTCGGCAGGCGTGAGCCACGCGAAGGGCCGAGAGATTACAAGGATTCGACGTCCGTGATGGGGTTGAGCATGATGAAAGAACACGTTCAATCCATTCGGCTGACCAACTTCGACCTTATGACTTACGAGGGACGCCGCTATGTTCACTGAGGCTCCATTTGGACAGATGGTTTCCGCCTTCATCTGTCGGCTCTCAAGTTAAAAAGCTGCAATCAGTCAGATACAGGCGACTACTGCAGGATGTCTTGCCCCTTCGAATCACATCCACAGTTGGGGAAGTGGATTATTACTTGACGGAATTTATAAGCATTGCGAAGCCCCAGCAGGATGTCACCGACCTTTAGGGATATGCGCCGGATCAAATCAGGGCCCTAGGTCTCGACCTCGGCCAAGCCTGTGTACCTGTTTACTCGGAGCAAATGCGTTGCTACCAAAGAGCGATGATTCCGGCAGTACGACAACGGGTCCTGGAAGAATGGGAGATAATGTCGACATGTGCAGCTCTTCCGAGATTACAACCCCTACTCCCGGTCCTCTCACTAATTACAATCTCGCAGTGAAGCAAAAGGCTGTGTACCAGCCCACGTTCAAGCACAGAAGATGGATGGAAGAGCAAAAAGAATCGTCCCAGGTAACGGAATGGAGTCCATTGGCAACATTGAGACTAAGTTGCCGTCGCTGCGTGGCAAGGGAGCTAGTTTTGCGAGCTATGTTACGGAGCTGGAGAGAGTAGAGGCACAACTGAATGAGTTTTACAACGGCAGCAATCGGTTCAAGAGGCATAAGTGGGACGCGAGAAGGGCCAAGGATGCGGAGTACAGACTCATAACGGATCGCCTACTTAAGTTGGTCGAAGGACAGATCGGCAGAAAGAGAGAGGAAACCAACAAGGTTGTGATTGGGGTTGGTCTGGGCAAGCCTTCAACCAAGACGAGAATCTCCTCTTTGCACGAGTCCTTTCAGTCGTACTTTGTTCAGAAGGTAGGAGCACTATCGCCTGAGAACCGATGTTATGTAAAATCGTTTTATGTTTTTATTGACTTTGTCTTGATGCCCTTTAGGCCAGATCTCTGGGCTACATCGTAGTTGGAGTGAATGAGTACGACAGGTCGGAATCCACAGGCTATACTGCTCAACCTGCGACACTTTCATACACCGCGATATCATGGTAGGGCACAACATTTGCAACGTAGCTCGCAGCCGTTTACTCCATCAACAGCGACCGCTCTTTCTTCAGGCAGTAGATAAGGACGGGCACTACCCTTGAATGCAAGATACAAGGCTGCACACAGAAGTCGGGGCCAGCAGCAGCACCAGCAGTAGCGCAGTAGAGCAAGGGCAAGGGCAAGGACGGGCTGGAGGACGCAAGCGAGCAGCCTGATCCTTGGAAGGGATAGAAGCTCCTGACGCCAAGCGACTATAGACTATGTAGATAGTATGTGAGTCAGCAAACACACTCTAAGTTCAGATGCAGTACTTTCTGAAATCTACTCTACGGTTATATTAGTTCGATTCCAGTACATGCAGCAATAGCAGGCAAGCATCTCAATTGACCCAAGCACGCCTTGCGCAGGTGCTCGGGCACTTTGGGGAGTATATCTAACAAACAGAGCCATCGTTGGATAAAGTCAAGCAATACACGCTTATTATACACATGCTAAAAAGTAATCACATTTTTTCATATCGTTACAAGATTAAGAATGGAAACGGCATAGAGGAAATATATGATGAAAAGGTTCGACAACACCAAAGACGACGACAAGGACACATTGAGCGAACTTTCTAAAGGTACGTTCACATGTGGTCGAAGTTATATCATTGAAAGACGTTATCGCGATTCATGACAACAAAGAGGCAGGACCTATTGTCACTGTCCGGCTCAGACTTCACTCTAGGAAAGATGTAGTTCTCCTAGTCTTTCTAGCTATGCCCTTGAATTCACTAGTGGTAGACTGTATTGCGGCATCAAGCTATCCTGTTGCTAACGCAGCTTCAGCGACTGCGATACGAGCTCAAATATATTACGATTCCGAATAACGGCATCGAAAATGATGATTAGGTGTGCGGACGAATTTGAAGAGCGTCTAGATACTGTTGTACGAAACATAGTCGCGAGAACATCGGTTCGAATACGCTTACTGTTTCCTCAGTGCCATTCAAAAATCCGTAAAAGCATGCGATGAACATTCATTTAATTCATGCGATATCGCAGTTAATATACAACGGCGTATCAACCATATCAATCTACAGTAGCCGCTCAACATCCTGCGTTTTACTTGTAGGCGGCCTTTTCGCTGTTGCTCCATACCTGCTGACTTGCCTTCGAACATTTGCTCGCCTCGGTATGGTTCATTCTCTCCACCATATTTAACAGCGTCGTTTGAAACGTAGAGGGAACGCGGCCCCCAGGGCTGATCGGCCAGATATTGCTGTCGAAGTGTTATGCTAGGAGGTGCTATAGAAGAAGCTATGGATCCATTTCAGGACAATAGCACCAGAAAAAACAAATGAAACCTACAGTGTCCCACGAAGTTTGATATCATTATCGTAGACAAGGAGAGTACTCTTGCTTCAATACTCCAAGTTAATATAGATATTACATGTAGAAACTCCTTCGAACCTTTATTGCGATGCCATATTACCAGGTGTATTATCGTAAAATTGAATAAAGCGTGAATAATCAGCGGCCTCCGGGCACCTTAGGGAAGGATAGTCCATCAAGTGTCTCTGTTGCCGACTTTTTCGCATTCTTCTTCTTGGCCTCATTCTGTCTCAAATAAAATATGTCTCGATGCAACATCCAGTATGCTGGCCTCTTCCTAGCCTCAGCCTGTTGTCGCTCCAATTCCGCTGCCTGTATCCTCGCCTTCGTTGCCTCTTCGTCATTGATGAATGCTGACACCGACGTTGCTGCCTTCGTGGCTACGGACCCCAATCCTGAGAGAACAGCCGATCCAAACTTGGCAGCGTGTGATTTAGTCTCTTCCTCACTTTTTGTCGCTGGCGCCGCTGCTTCCCCCTGCTTCTTCTTCTCGGCCTCGGCTCTCTTTTTCTTGATAGCGGCCACAGCAGCTATGGCATCGGGCGTGGGTACAGGGGGATAGCCTTCGCCCTTGGCAAATCCTGGGTCCTGGAGATGGGATGTGCATACGTAGAAAAAGTCGCCGCCGTCCTTGGCTGTCAGGACCTTGGTTGTCATTTTCATACAGATGTAGCTAGGCGGACATAAAATCATTTATTAGAGACAATTCTTGTGCCTGAGGATTCCTTGCTTATTAGTGCCAAGAATATAAAGCCATTGGGTCCAGTTAGTGCTCTCACCACGGTCGCTCTGTCGTTGCAGTCTTTTCCAAATAGGCATTGCGAAGAGCCGTGGTGCTCATGTTGATTCCGGTGCCAGTTGTTATTGTTGTTTGGTTTGTCGCTTGTGGAGAAGAAATGGGATAGAGAAGAGCGGAATGAAATGAGTGTGAGGAAGTGCATCAAAAAGTAGGCTGAAATAAATAAGCTAGTTCTGTGCCCTGAAAGATGACCTCGTTTCGCTTTTTCTTTGTTGCCACCATTTTTTGTATTTCTCATTTCATCCTCCAGCGCGATCGACCGCACCAGTACCCGATCCACCATGGCTGCAGTCGAAAAGCGGATTCTGATTCGAATGCGAAAGGAGCTCAAGGATCTGGAAACCTCGCCACCACTCGGAGTTATTTGTTACCCTCAAAATGACAATATTGTGCATCTCCAAGCTGGTACGAGCAGCTCAACCCCTCCACTTCACACACGCGGCAAAGCAGAGGAATTAATATTTTACTAATATATCGACTGGGCTGGGTTCCCCATGGCACGAATTGTATCCACACAGAGCTCACCGGACCAGCGGATACACCTTACGAAGGAGGCGTTTTCAAGATCGACATTCATATCCCAGAAAAGTGCGTACTTTTGGACAGGAATATGGCTCGCATTTGGCTACGCGTTTTCAAACTTAAGAGCTGACCCAACGATGCGATAAAACGTTAGGTACCCGTTTGAGCCTCCAAGGTGCCAGTTCCTCACCAGGGTCTATCATCCCAACATTGACGATCAAGGCCGTATCTGTCTGGACATCTTGAAAGGCCCTCCCAAAGGCACATGGGGACCGGCCATCAGTATCACAACCATGCTGTTGTCCTTGAGAATCCTGCTTGCGAATCCTAATCCTGATGACCCACTGCTGGTCGAAATTGTAAGTGTTGGCCAGTCTGATCGCAGACGACGAGCCCAAATACACAGCATGAGCACTAACACCGGCTGCACACATTCTGTAGGCAAATGAGTTTAAGGAAAACAGGGCCCTTTTCACCCAAAGGGCTCGAATGTACACGAAACAATATGCTATGGGAGATGCAGATACCATCGGAATAGAAAAAAGTTCGGAGGTAGGCGTTTTTATCACAGCTTTCCACGACTACTGCATTGACGACTTGCCAGCAAAGGACTCCTTCATGACACGTTAACCTATACGTCCTTAGATACTTCAACCAAGCGACCAACCGAACTCATTCAACATTTCAGCCCTGCAGGAACTGGTGTTGCGACCTACATTCCCATCAACCCCTTCAGAGTCAACATCGTCCTCATCCTCGACTACAAGTTCTACGACACAACAACCCAGCGCTCAGAAATCTCCTGCCTCCGACTCATTCTCAACTCCATCTACAATCAGTACCACCATATCACTCGATGCTGCGGAAAAGAAGACTTTGTCGCGACCAACGCTGAAGAAACCGAGTCTCAAATCCAAAAGAGCCAGCGCGACAGCAGATCCCATCGCCCCCAGCTTTCCGGATCCAGAAATAAATTCAGCAGCAAGCAGTCAGTCTCCTGCTCAGCCATCTGCAGTTTCAGAGGTATCGCAATCGCTGGGGCTTAGTTCTGACGTGCAAATTGTCGAAAAAGAGGAGGAGGAGGCTGTGCGTCTAGTAGGATCCAGGAGGGCTGTATCGCCAGTGCATGTTGTGATCAGGGCGCCAGATACTTTGCGGAGTCCATTTTATCCATCGCCGGAGGACACAATTGCAGATAAAACTATTGACATGTCTAAGCCCACGAGAGAACTGGATACTGTTACGGACGAAAAAATTAACGTCTCGAAACGAGAACCGGAAACAGAAACCTCTGCGGACAAAATTATTTTCAGCTTAGACGCGAGGCAGGAATTGAATACGGCTGTGGAGGAAAAGATTGCTATTTCAAAACGGAAGCTTGAGTCGGGTACCCATACGGACAAAACTATTTCCATCTCGGGACGAGCGCGGGATTCGGATACGACTATGAGCATGAGCGAGTTATTTAGCAACACTGCCGCCGTCAGACCCGTAAAGACTAAGAGGGCAAAGTCCGAGAAGGCAGAGTCGACGCGGCCCAAACCCAAACCCAAGCTCAAGTCCAGACCCAAATCCTCACCTCTCGAGAAAGCGTCTCTAGAATCGAGAGCAGAACTGCAAGACAGTTTACAGGACCACTCGCAACCGCTCTCGCAGCCCTCGCGGACGAATTTGGAGGAGACATATAGAAGCGCCTCCCAGCAGAAGAATGATGCGCCCACGATGGATACGAATACGCATATCCTCACACCAACAGCGATCCTACAGAAGAATCGGTCATCCGAGCAGTCGCCATCCAAGGAATCAGCGGGCCGTATTACGAACGCGAAGCGCAATCAGGGACCACTTCAACCAGTTCAACCACAACTTGTGCAAAGCCGGTCGTTTTCTGCCGAGAATATTGGTAATTCCGAGGAGTCGGTACTGCAAGGGGTCGCTCGAGAAAATGACAAGGGCAAGGGAAGAGCGGTAATGGATGATGTTCCGGGCAGGAATCAAGGAAGGACTCTTGAGACGGATGAGAACGCGCGTGTTGTATCATTACCTCTGTTGTCCAAGGCGGGGAGTTTTGAAAAGGGTATCACTGTACCATCGTCGTCGGCGCTTTCGGCTAGTGAATTCCGATCGGACAAAGGCACTGAGGCAACTCCTCTACTGACAGTCGCACGCAAACGGAGCCTTCTGAAGAAGCAGCGACCAACTTAGATCGTGTTTTTTCCATACAACAAAATGCAAGCAAAAGCCAATAGAACCTAATGATTGTACTATTTTTTATTTACTGCAGTTCTCCTTGTACTTGTACTTCCACTCGACCTTCATGTTTTGCAAAAATAAAATAAAAATAAGAAAAGCAAAGGGTGTTCTCTATTTCTTCTCCTCGCCCTTGGCGGCCTCCTTGGCCTCATCCTCAAACTCGACCAAAAGTTCATCTCCCGCAACAGAGTCACCAGGCTTAACCATGACACTCTTGACAACACCGGCACGGACAGATCGAAGGACGTTCGCCATCTTCATGGCTTCGATGGTCGCGACAGCGGTGCCCTCAGCAACGACATCTCCAACCTTGACATCAACAGAGACGACGGAGCCAGGCATGGGCGACAAGATCATGTTGGTCGTCGAAGCCTTTTCCTTGATGGGCATGTATTTTGAGAGGGCGTGCTGGGCAGGATTGTTGACCGTGATATCGAATTTCGTACCCAAGTGCTGGACGCGGAAGCCCAGGGGGAGCGTATCGAGGTATTGGAGGGTGACTTCCTCGCCATTATCGAACTTTTGGGAGATCAAGGGAGACTCCAGAGGCCAGTGAGTCGAGGTCTTGAAAGGAGCCATACCGGGAGTATGGATCTATACCATCGCAATAAAAAAAATAAAAAAATAAAAAAATAATAAAAAAAAAAAAAAAAAAGAGACGAAAGTAAGCATCAAAGCCCAATCTGAAGTTTTCTTCATATCAGTTAAAGGTCAAAACGGACTCACCTCAAACTCATCCTCGTTGTTGGCGCCCTTGCCGACCTTCTCGACCTTGACAGGGACCTTCTCATCAACTCCCTGGACACCGATAAAAAGCTCCCAGCTGTGGGGCGCCTTTCCTTGGAGATCCTCCTTCAACAAGGCCTCACGACCACGGCCCCAGGCCCAGTTGCGGAGCTCACGCTTGACATGCATCAAACCGGCCATGGAAGCCAACTGGGCGAGCGAGCTTGGGTTAGGCGCATGGCCCTTGAATCCGGTGGGGTATTCCTCCGCCAAGAACTTTGTCGAGTACTTGCCCGAGGCAAAGCGATCGTGCGAGACGACCTCACGCAAGAGAGGGATATTGTGCGTGACACCCTTGATGACATACGAGTCCAGAGCATGCTTCATGTTCTCAATGGCCTCCTCACGAGTCGCACCGTGGGTGCAGAGCTTGCAGATCATGGGGTCGTAGTAGATACTGATCTCAGATCCCTCGACAATTCCAGAGTCGCAGCGGACCTCGTTCTGGCCCTTGGTTGACTTGGGCTCGATGTACTTGGAGAGACGACCGATCGAAGGGAGGTACTTCTCGGGGTCCTCGGCATAGACACGGGACTCGATAGCCCAGCCATTGATCTTGATGTCCTCCTGCTTAGGGATCAGCTTCTGGTTGGCAGCAACACGGATCATTTGCTCGACCAAGTCCATGCCGGTGATGTACTCGGTGATGGGGTGCTCGACCTGGAGACGGGTGTTCATCTCCAAGAAGTAGAAGTTGCGGGCAGAGTCGACCAAGAACTCGACTGTTCCTGCGGACGAGTACTTGACATGCTTGGCCAGCATCACGGCTTGCTCTCCCATGGCCTTGCGCGTCTTCTCATCAATGTGGGTCGATGGGGCTTCCTCAATGACTTTTTGGTTTCTGCGCTGGATCGAGCACTCACGCTCAGGCAGGTAGAGCTACGAGAATAGTAATAATAATAAAAATAAAATCATCGTTAGCAGATAGTCTTTCATGGTCGAACATAAAATGCGCGGGATAATTTGATCCGCATAGAGCTTACAGTGTTGCCGTGCTTGTCCGAGATGATCTGGATCTCAATATGGCGAGGGTTATCGATGAACTTCTCGATCAAGAGACGGTCATCACCGAACGAGGCCATGGACTCGGTCTTGGCCATCTTGTAACCCTCCAGAACCTCCTCGTCGTTCCAGGCAATACGCATTCCCTTTCCTCCACCTCCAGCAGAGGCCTTGAGCATGACTGGGTATCCGATTTCGTTGGCTAAAACGGACCACCATAGTTGTATTGTATTTAGTATCCGAGATCGACTTGGACTGCAGCAGTACGGTGACATGATGAAGTGGTAGCGACATTGAGCACCGCCTTTTCTTGTATTGACTTACAAATCTCGAGGGCGTGGTCGACATCGCGGACGACACCGTTGAATCCGGGAATGATGTTGACCTTGGACTCCTTGGCAATGATCTTACTCTGGATCTTGTCTCCCATGGCAGCCATGGCGTCCTCAGAGGGCCCAATAAAGGTCACTCCGACTTCATCCAAAGCCTTGACGAATGTAGCATTCTCAGACAAGAAGCCGTAACCTGGACATTAAAAGACTGGAAGTTAGATCTCTGAAGGAACAGCGCAAATTGGACTGATCTGTGGCAATTGTAATATCGCACCTGGGTGAACAGCCTGGGCGCCAGTGTCCTTGATGGCCTTGATGATGTTGGGGATGTTCAGGTAACTCTGGGAGGTTGGCGCGGGACCCTAAGAAGCATTTGGTAGCCATTCAAGAAAAAAAAAGAAAAAAAAAGATCAGTGGCCGAGTCCATGGATCAAAGGGTGTTTTCTCAGTGTAGATTGCTGACACTTTAGCGAGAAAAAGTCTTCTGTTGTGCCCTCTTTCTCCTGTTCGCGTTTCTTGCGCAAAAAGAAGGTATATGGCTCATTCTTGGTATCCGTGTCTGTCCGACAACACCAGCGACTCGCAAACAAAGGCTCGTCAATTGCATTTTTTTTTTAGGACATTGTGTCTAACATACCACGTTCACAGCCTCGTCGGCCAACTGGACGTGCAAGCTGTTGACATCGGCATCCGAGTGAATAGCGACGGTCTTGATGCCCATCTTCTTGGCAGTCCTGATGACACGGCATGCAATCTCTCCTCTGTTGGCAATCAGGATCTTGTCAAAGGTCTACGGTGATGCCATTGTCATTGGTGAAAATAAAAAGGGAGTAGGTGTTTGTGTTAGGACATTCGGGTCAGTGGAATGAAAGGGTCGAGGTACCGTGGGACAGATCAGTGTTCAAGGTTCACGACCGAGGCAGGTGTCGAAATAAATCATCTCAATCATCTCACACCTGAATCTGAGGGTGAATCTGAATCTGAATCTAGGATCCGAGGTTCGGTTGTTTACCTTGCCATACTGCGAATAGTCATTGTGCCCCTGGAGCTGCTGCGAGGGCGAGGCAGCGGCAGCCCTGGAGATGGCGGAGGAGTGGAAGAGACGCTGGCGAGTCGCAGTCAGGGAGCAGACCCAGCGACCGGTTGTGCGCGGGATGGCTGCAGCGAGCGAAAGGGACATTATGTGGACCGAGAGAGTGCGAGGAGTAACAAAGAAGAAGAAGAGGAAGAGAGGAGAGGAGAGGAGAGGCCGAGAAGAAAGAGGAGGAGGCAGAGGAACGAGTGGCACGCAACGAGAGAGTGGGGAGGAGTGAAGAAAAGAAAGGAAAAGAGGAAAGGAGCGGGGAGGGGCGACGGGAAATACGGTAGACTATGTTTTTTCACTTTGAAGCAACACATTTTTTTTTATATTACATGTCTTCTTGGAGGCCACCGATACGCACGCTCTTCCTTCAATCCGGAGGCTGCTTATTATCTATCACTGGCTCGTCAATGAAAGTATTGCTACGAACAACGCAGTTGGCAATTGATGACTATGAAGATAACAGGAAGGAGCTCACGTTCGCTCGTCCGACACAAGTCTGGGAAAACAAAACCCGCGGCGACTACGGATCGGCCATATTTTTGTTATTTTGTTTATATTCTTCTCTCGGCTGCGAATGCGGATGTCCTCTTTGACAAAGCAATCGACCCCGCAAAGCATATTTGAACAACTACAGCAAGTGCATCCAATGCCTCGTAATATGGATGATTCGTACGCGCTGATCAAGCCGTCTGTCCTTCTCGTTCACTGACTGAAACGCCGCGCGTATTTCAATTGAACTCTCTGATTTGCGTTTCCATCCCCAACTCCGGTCTGTCCTGGTTCCTGATCCCTTCAAGACGACGATGATGGTGATGATACAGCCTTATGATTGAGCTGCTCCGGAGAGTGTGGAGAATGAGAGATTATCAGCCTATTCATTTTAGTCAGTGGATCTCGCAAGATGAGTGTGGGGTTACCCTGGAAAGAAGCCCCTGAGGGGTTGAAACCCAGCGTCGAGGGTGACGACCGTGGGAAAAAAAATTGCAAGCGAAATTTGATTGCTCCGTGGGGAGGAATAAGAAACGACAGCATTTGTCGGATGTGCCAGTTGTAGATGCAGATAGTTCCCTCGGTCGTATCCCTCCGCAATGAACAAAAGATAATCTTTTCGGCAAAGGAGGCTTTGTTGAGATGACAAACGTCAGGGGTGCTGATGAGGCCGTGTGGGGTCCCGAGCCGGCCCAGGATAGAACAGCGGAGACTTATTGGTTCATCAAATTCGAGCTACAGACCTGCTGCTTGATCCGGGAGGGAAAGCAATTGAAAGCCCCAGAATCGACCGTTTCCAAGAGGGGAACGTACTACCACCAGGAGTGTCGCTGCTGAGGACTGAGCGAGGAAGGAAGCAGAATGTAGAGAAGAAGGAGGGGGAGGGAGGGGGAGAAGAAGACAAAGAGGGAGGATGGCGAAGGAAAGAGTAGGAAGAAAAAAGTCGTGTACATCCACCCGTTGAAAGTGAACACTTTCTCTTTCCCGTCTTTACACCTTAAAGAACACTTTGGCTGCAAAGGGGCCCTTTTTTTTTCCTTCCTTCCTTCTGCTTCTTTCCTCTCCCCACCCTCCTTCTCCTCCTCTTCCACCCATCGCCATCGCCATTGCCTTCCCGCAATCCCCTCCCCTCTCTTTCTCTCTTTCTCTCTTTTCTGTCCTCTGCATCTCCATCCCATCCCATCCCCATCCCATCGCCTTGACCCCTCCCCTGATCCCTCTCATCCGATCCACAGCTATGTTCCGTCTCTCGACCGTGGTTGCATCCAGGGCCGCCCTGGCCTCGGCCACCCGTCGCTCCCTGCCAGCGTTTGCCACCGCTGCCCGCCACTATGCCGTTGGCAAGACAGCCATCTCTGCGGAGAATGTACGGCCGATTACCCTTTTTTATCTTGGGGTGTTGTGGATCTCATATAATTCACACGCTCAATTGAGTAAAAGACACAACTTACTGACTAGACCTGCACACTTGCCACCAAAACAACGACTCGGGTGTTTCCCATGTTCTGATTCCTTATAGGACGTCGTCGGAAAGATCAATGCCAAGCGTCAGGAATCGCTCTTGGGTGGTGGTCTGAAGAGAATCGAGACTCAGCACAAGAAGGCAAGCTCCTGATCCTCATTCTACTTTAACAGCGATTGCGAATCTGCTGCTCACTCTGACTGTTTGCGATCCGCTTTTTGGTTGATCAGACACATCTTGTTTTCTAACCTGCATATGAAAACGACTTTTTTTTTTTCTTTCTTTCTTTCTTTCTTTCTTTTAAACAGGGCAAACTGACTGCTCGCGAGCGCATTGAGCTCCTCGTGGATCCTGGTTCATTCCGCGAGTACGATGCCTTTGTGGAGCACAACTGTGTTGATTTTGGCATGGAGAAGCAAAAGGTACGACATGTCTTTGCAGCTAGTGTCCGGGGAAAATAATGCTGGTGAAACGCGTATTTGTGAATAATAATGCTGATCCGCATTGTCAATTGCTTCTCCTCTGAACAGATTACGGGAGATGGTGTTGTTACTGGTCACGGAACCGTCAACGGCCGCCGTATCTTCCTGTTCTCGCAGGACTTTACTGCCTTTGGTGGATCCCTCTCCAACACTCATGCGCAAAAGATCTGCAAGATCATGGACAAGGCCTTGCTTGTCGGTGCCCCCGTCATTGGTCTGAACGACTCTGGCGGAGCCCGTATTCAGGAGGGAGTCGAGTCCTTGGCTGGTTATGCTGATATTTTCTTGGTGAGCGCTTGTCTATCTTGCATTTGTTCAAACTGGTGGTCAATGGGATCTTGACTACGCGCGGAAATGGACATGTACTAATAGCTGATCTTTTGCCTTGTAGAAAAATGTCATGTCCTCGGGAGTGGTTCCCCAGATCTCGCTGATCATGGGTCCTTGTGCTGGAGGCGCTGTGTACTCGCCCGCGTTGACGGATTTCACGTTCATGGTCCGCGACACGTCGTACCTGTTTGTTACTGGACCTGAAGTTGTCAAGACTGTGACGAAGGAGGAGGTTACCCAGGAGGAGCTCGGCGGTGCCAAGGCCCACACTGTCAAGTCCGGAGTCGCCCACGCTGCCTTTGAGAACGATGTCGAGGCTTTGCAGCGCCTTCGTGACTTTATCGACTTTTTGCCGTTGTCGAACCGGGAGCCGGCTCCTGTGCGCTACACGGACGATCCCTCGGACCGCGAGGACGCGTCGTTGAACCACATTGTGCCCGTGGACTCAACCAAGGCCTACGATATCAAGGACGTGATCACGCGTCTGGCGGACGACTCCCAGTTCTTTGAGATCATGCCCGACTATGCCAAGAACATTGTGATTGGTTTCGCCAGAATGGGTGGCAAGACCGTGTCGATTATTGCGAACCAGCCTTTGGTGTCGTCCGGAGTGCTCGATATCAACTCGTCGGTCAAGGCGGCGCGCTTTGTGCGGTTTGCAGATGCGTTCAACATTCCTATTTTGACGCTTGTGGACGTGCCTGGATTCTTGCCCGGAACGGCTCAGGAACACAATGGAATTATTCGTCACGGAGCCAAGTTGTTGTACGCGTATGCGGAGGCGACAGTGCCGAAGGTGACGGTGATTACGCGCAAGGCATACGGAGGTGCCTATGATGTGATGAGCTCGAAACACCTTCGCGGCGATCTTAACTATGCCTGGCCCACCGCTGAGATTGCTGTCATGGGGTAAGCCTTGAAACTTGCTATGCTTTATCATCGTCTTTGACAATAGGGTTTGGTGCACACTTTGTTTGTTTCAAGGACAGTGGAGGATATGACATGATCTTTCCTTTTTGTTTTTTTCTTTTCATTTGTTTGCTTCGCTGCATGGTTTTGGGGTCTCCATGATATTTTCTTGTGTTCCATTACGTGCCAATTGCGTTCTGTGTTGTTGTTTTTGTACCTGGATCGTGGTCATGTCTCTAACTGTTTTTTTTTTTTGTTGCTGTTGTTGTAATAAATAGTGCGAAGGGAGCCGTTGAGATTATTTTCCGATCGAGCGCAGACCGAGCATCGGCGGAGAAGGACTATATCAGCAAGTTTGCGAACCCATTGCCGGCAGCGCAGCGCGGATATATCGATGATGTGATTGAGCCGTCGTCGACCCGTCGTAGGATCATTGAGGACCTTGAGATGTTGCGTCACAAGAAGCTCAAGAACCCCAAGCGCAAGCATGGCAACATTCCTTTGTAAAGACATGAAAAAAAAGGGTAGAGACAGTGTTTGGAGGAGGAGACAAACAAACAAAGGAATTCTTCGTTATACAGTTTATTTTGCTTTAGAAAGACCGGTTGAAGTTGACTTTTTTCTTTATTTCAAAACAAGAGAGATCTACAAATAAACAATGGGTTATGCAACACATCATCGTGCAGCTTTGCGAGGACGACGTTCATTCCTAGACGTTGGATGGAAAATGAAAGGAGGTGAGCAGCGCAGGTTATGGAGAGAAAAAAGCTGCTGCACCCTGCATCCTGCATCATCACGTCTTGTTTTGGCCTTTGTTCGATGGTCTGTTGTCAGCCATGGCTGCTGGGGCTGTCGCAGGGATGTACTACTGGTCGAGTGGTGTTCATAATGGAATAAGGCCGAACTACCCTTGAAATGACGCGTTGCGCGGTTTATCTTTTTTTCTGATGAAGGGGAAGGGGAGGGCGGAGGAAAGGCTGAAGATTGTCCGTTGGAAGGATAGGTCCAAATGACCTTTTTTTTCGATTGAGGGATGTATAATGATGTGATACGGATAGGGGGGAGGGGAGAATAGGAGACCATCGATTGAATTGGGCGCAGACAGTAGACAGTAGACAGCAGGCAGCAGGCGGCAGACAGACAGACAGATAGACAGACAGACAAATGTAGACAGGCGGATGAAAGTGCGGTTGTCCATTAGCTATTAATGATGGGTGCCTATGATCCTGCTTGTTTGCAGAGCAAGGCGAGTGGACGAGTCATGTCAACTGCATGAGATAACATCGTGTAGTATGGGACAATGTAGCATGGCATGGCATAGGGTGCATTTGCATGTAGAAACACACGGGTCAGTTCTTTCTCTGGCGCCCAGCCCGCTCAGTACGTAGTCCTCTAGTGATCTGTACGTTGTTGAATTCAGGGACGGTGCAGTGGAGTGCAAGGCCCAAATGAATGTGACCGACAAAAGCAGCCGGTGCGAATGGGCTTGTTTCGGTGCCCTCCACCAACCCCCCTTTTTTTTTATGTTATGCGTGAAACTCTTAGGTAGCCAGCTAGTCTAGTCCAGTCTAAGTCTGGTCCAGCTACAGATGCATGTGCGCAATGCAAGGCCATGCAAGTCTTATGAGCGAAAGGGTCATCATCATACCCGATGTTGTATGTATCCCTGTGTATATAGCCCTTTCTGTCGAATGCGTAGCTGCTGCGTTGCTGCGTATGTAATCACTTTGTTTTGTAGGTACATAGGAGCATAAGGACAAAAGGACATAAGGACATAAGGACATAAGATAAGAGCAAAGAGCAAAAGGACGTCCCTGTCGATCGGCTAGTCCATAGAATCCCCTTTTTTTTCTCCGCAAATGCAGATGCATACGCGATGCATAGTGCATTGGGGGGGGGGGGGGGGCGTCAATGCGGGTCAGCTTCAGCTTCAGCTTCATAGTGAGTTAGATTTAACCGTACGATGGCATATGCTAGGGGGTAGACTAAGTACTAGGGTGAATGGCGGTGGAGTAAAAGAGAGGGTTATGGGTAAACGGTTTCTGCTTAATTGGCGGATGCGGTTTGCTGTGTTTGAGGGGTGTGCAGACAATGTGTGGATGGGTGGGAAAGGGCGACCTGGGTAGGTTTAACATCTGATGCAATTGTGTGCAATTGTGTGCTGCTGCTGCTGCTGTTACTATTGTTGTTGTTGTTGTTGTTGTAAGCAGATCGGGGTGCTGTTTCTCCTCTGTTGCAGTCATAATGCCTGACTGGTTCATAGCCAGTCCGATGGAGCGGTATATATACACCAGAGCTGTTTCTTGCATACGGCCATGGTCGCATACCCGCGGAGAATTTTGTTCTTCCAGGCAAGTCGAACCAAGTCGGACCGAACCAAGGCGAACCAAGTGGTTTTGGTGAAGCGAGATGAGGATGTTCATGGCATTGCAGAATGAGAGTCATATGGGATCAGACGCGGAGTGACTGGAAGGGAAAGAGACGAACGAACGAAAGAAAGGGGGGAGGGTTACGAACTATGTTTGTTCAATTGAATAAAGTATTGTGTACAGGTGAGTGTGTGCCTGAACACTACAGCACCCCTGATCTGGTCACCCACTCACCCACTCACTCACTCACTCGCCCACTCACTCGCTCGCTCGGGTGTGAGTGGGGGGAGGAAGAGAACAGGTCATGCCGCGGTCATTCCTTCCTTCATTCCTCTCTTCCTCGCTCCACGTCAACAAACCCAAGAACACTTCCTCCTTCCTTCCCTTCTTTCCCTTCCTTCCTTCCTTCCTTCCTCTCTCTTTCTCTCTTTCCGTCATTGCATCCGCCATCCCTCCTGTCGGGCTGCCTCCTCCCTCCATTGATTTGATTCCAAGCCCGTTCCTGGAAATACACTCATCGCACACAGAGCACACAAATACGCAGCACCCCTCTCCCTCCTCCCTCCACACACATACACTCACCCGCTCACTCTCGCTCTCTCACTCTCGCTCTCGCACTCTCACTCTCTCACTCGCTCTTCAAACCTCCAACTGCATAGTCTATGCTTCCTGATTCATCGTCCTCGATATCTCACTCCGCATTGCCTTCTCCTCCTCGCTTACTCGTCTCCTCCTTCGCTGCCGCTCTCGCTATCACCGCCACCACCGACGCCTGTTCACCGCCCCTCTCCTCTTCTCACAGTCATATCACCCAGTAACGCAGAACAGAATCCACACTCCACCTCCAGGCACCATCCCAACACCAGCAGCAGCAGCAGCAGCAGCAGCAGCAGCAGCAGCAGCAGCAGCAACCGCAACACTCGCTCGCCCACCTGTCCTGTCCTATTATTTTTTTAGCACCATATCCACTCCCTCTCTCCCCTCTTTGCTACCCTCTCGGTCTTTCCCCACGTTTTTTTTTTCCTCCTCCCTTTCTTATACAACTGAACAAAAAGTACTACATCACGGCAGCGTGGTATTGTTTTTTTACTTTATTTTTTCAATCCCCGCCTCTCGTAAAAGTACGTCAGTCAGTTGTGTGCCTGATCAAAATTCTCCTATTGTCCTATTGCAAGAACAAGTCAAGTCCAGCCTGGACTCTGGAGAACTGAAACCGTTAAAGTTTTCTGACGGGATTACTAATTGACCAATGCCCTCGTCTGGCGCCATCAGCTCGGTAAGTTCTCCTGATACGATGTGTTTCTGAAGAATATAGCAATATATTCGTCTCCTACCAATTTTTTTTTTTTGTTTTTTCACTCTTGATGCATTGGCAATGGGAAATGGCACAATGACACAATGTGTGGAATGGGCGACAAACACGAACGTGGCGGAGGACACGCATACGACACGCGCGGTGGACTGAAAGGGGACGATGTGTGGATATTATTATGCACGCGGCTTCGTCGTGCCTTCAGTCCCCTTTCCTTCTCCGTCTCCTGCTGCGTGGTCCTTTCATGCAGCAGCAGCGGCGTCGGCAGTGTGTTCATACCCGCCACTCGGCATGGTTTAGCGGCATTTTATACATTAGGCAACACTCGACGCTATATTCCTCTTCCCTCCTCTCCATCCTTCCGATTTTCCCTTTTTTTCTTCTTGCTTGTCCGTATCTGCTGTTTGCGGGTAATCCTTCATTACATCCATGGGGACGGATGAATGGATGGGACGAGTCATTGAGTGTCTAATGTGTCCCTTCCCACACTGTTTCCCTTTCCGTCTCTTCCTGCTGATTGTTCGTGTGTCCTCCTCTATCTCTTTCTCTTCCCTCGTCTCCCTAGTATTTTTTTTTTTTTTTTTTTTTTGTGCCCTTGTGGGTAATATCCAGTCCATGTCTACGGTTCCCCTCTGGTTCCCCCATTTCTCGCTCTCAGCTTTGTCGTTGTCCGAGTAATTGTAAGGACATTTCCTTGTTCCTTTACTCAAGCATTGGAAGGGGCCAGAGCTGTAAAGGATTTTTGGAACCCTCGAGGAGTTCTCTTCTGTCCCAATCAAATGACTAGGCAGGCAGATAGCGGATGAGTTTTTATTCGAGAGGTGGTTGAGAGGGATAGTGCCACATGGTAAAGCGGTGGGGCGTGCACTTCCCTAGGAGGAAGAATACAAAAAAGAAGAGTGTTCTAGTCCGCCCTTATTCGCAGTATATCACTCATTATTACTGCAGAAAATGAAGAAAGAGAAAAGGGAACACTGGCCTTTTCGTTGGTTTCGTGCATTCCCTTTTTTCTTCTTCTGCATTCATCCCCTCACCTCAGTCCATTCACGCTTTTCTTCGTTGCATGACCTTGTTTTGTTCATTTCGAATCCTCTTTGCCACTGATCAGTTCTCCGCTTCAAAAGTCAAAGGCACCCCCCTGTTTGTAGCACACCCGTACACCTTGCCTCCACTGGATATTGCACTCTTTGGGGTCTCCCCTGGTCACATTTTCCTACACAGTCTCTGCTCTCAGCAAATCAGGGTGTCTCTATTTTCTGTGCTCCACCAAAGAAAAAAGGAAAAAGAGAAAAGAAAAAAACGCGTTCAAACCTGTAGCACACACGTTCCTGTCCTGTCCCTATCAGTGGACTCTGCCCGCCCTGCTTTGCCCTGCTTTGCACACTTTGCACACGTTGCATTCCCTCACTCGCCCTCACTCGCGAGAATAACGGTCGAGAACGAGTTGGGTCTAGAAACCGTCTTTACGCTTGCGACTCCTCCTTGTGGCCCTCCCTCCCTTGGTGCTCTTCTTTGTTTCTGCTTTCTCCGCAACGCCATTTTCTTTTCTCTTTTGGACTTGCCGCGCCCACGATCCGTGTGCTTGATATGTCTCTGCAGCTCTACCCTGTCCAGAGCCCGACTCAATGATGTGCAGAACACTCGTTACCTGGGTCCTCTTCCTTTCCTCTGACCCTGCACGAACTCCTACATCTTCTCCTCCGTCCTTATCCCGTACCCCCGCCTTGTCGCCGCCTCCACCCGCACCTCCATTCTCATCTCCACCTTCGTTTTCTTCTGCGTCCCTAACCATTTCAACCTCATTCTCTCCTGTCTCTTATTCTTCCTCACCTGCGCTTCGACCTCGGCTATGCCTGCGTCCGCTACCGTCTCCTATCCGTCGCCCGTTGCCCCAACATTGGATCCACTCATCTGGAACATCAACAACATCAACAACATCAATATTACTGAATCCTCTAACGGCCCCTGACTCAACTCCTATCTCGCTTTCGATCAACCATGACCTGGATCTGCGATTGTTACATGTTCTGGCCAATCACTTGAACGGCGGCTACCGTCCACTGTCTCGTCCACGCCAACGTGTCCCCTTCTCGATCTCGGCCCCATGCTCTCCATTTTCTCGCCCTCTGACGCAACAAAAGCTGGTCTTTGCGTCAGGAGCCGTGGGAACGGCTTCGGCGTTGGGCCATGTGTTCGGACGACCGCTCCAAGCAAGAGAGACGGTCGCATGTGCGCCCGAGAACTGTACGCAGCTCCCGACTGAATTGCAGCATTCGTTGGCCCAAAAGGCGCAGTCACCCTCACATACCTTCCAGCAGCAGTGTTCTGTCCATAAGCGGTTCCGCTTATTTCGTCAGCGCCCACGGAAGTGTCCGGTGCATTCGATGACTGCAGGAGGACCCAACTTTATTATGCCGCCGACTACGGTCCATCCGTTGGTGGTTCGGCCGGAAAAGATTCTCTTGGACAAGTATGAAGATCCTGCGGTACAGGTACATGTACAGACACAGACACAGAGTGCAAGTTGGAAAAGGACAATGACCCCGTCCGCGTCTACGTCATCAAAGCTTTCATCCTATTCGAGTGTCTCGCTTTCGTTGTCATCGACCTTTGGACAGGGATCGGATGGCGAGAGCCATGGTAGTGGAAGTTTCCAGATGTCGCGGAAAAAGAAGTTTTCGTACAAGGAACAACAACAGCCCCAACTTCGGTGCCTGTGCTACCTGGATGTGACGCTAGATCAGCAACAGCAGCAGGAGCAGCGCCAGTACCAGCACCAGCACCAGCACCAGCACCAGCGTCAGCATGAGGCTCCGCAACAGACAAAGACGCGTCTGTTATCGACGCCATCGTGGTATCCAAAGAAACATCAGAAAGAGGCGAGTCGGCTGAGGAGGATATGGAACGATTCAACGATCTTTCATTGGTCCAAGCCCTCAGGGACGAGTCGACGCGGTCAGCTATCACAGGAAGAGCAGTCGATGCAGGGTTCACAGCAACAACACACTGTCGGAGCTGCGGAATCACTGTTCGTACAGAACTCGGGATTGGAGGGCGCGCCGATGAGGAATAGTCTGAGCGGGACAGATATCTCGGACGAGGGTAACCATACGCTGACGGATGTCGAGGACGATTGCGATGATGAGGACGAGTCAACGTCCTCGACGAACAGCGGCAGCAGACCTCAGCGGGTTCCGCTTCAGGAGCATTTTGGGACCAAGCCGACGACAAGGACCGCACGACCAGGGGATGATCTGAAGGCGATCTCGAGACATCAGGCGGAACTCAATCAAGAACCCGGACGGTTGGATTACAATGATTATTTGATGGAGGATCAACCACCACAACAGGAAGGTCGTCCGTTGGCAACAAGTTTCGCAGCAGGCGAGGTGTTGGATGAAGACGATGATGACGATGAGGATTGGGATATTCAGTCAGATTCCGGAGCGCCGTCTTCGAGCCCGATGTATTCTGCCGAGGCCAGGGAACCAACCTCGTACTCGACCGTGACACTGCCGTTGTCACAACAGACGACGACAACGCCGATGGCCAAGGGAGGATACATGAAGAAGCCATCGAACGCGAATCTGAACAGCTTGAGGAGTCGACAGAGGTGTTTGAGTCTGCCGGCGGATGCGGGCCACAGGGGGTTCTATAAGATGTCCTCGAGACCAAGTGAGAACTGGGATGAGGACTTTGATATCGAGGAAGCCGATATTAACGTACCGACGAATGTGGTCGAAAGCCAGATCTCGTTGCAGATGGATATTTACAACATCAAGGACTTTGCGCTCCAGATCGAAGGTACGTATCAACAACATAGCCTTGTCCATGTTCGTGTTCGTGTTCGTTATTCGTGCGTGTCACCAACGAACGTATGTTGTTTCCTAAACCGTGCGCGTATGTGTATCTCTTGATAGACCTGAAGACCCTTCGAACCTCACTAAGGATGGCGTCGAATTCGTTGAAGGCGACAAACCCAAAGAAGCACCAGGATCTGTCGATGTTGTTCCAGAGAGACTGGGAGCAGGCGGAGGTGATCATCGACCTTGGTGAGATTGCCCAAACGTCAACTTCTCCCTCCCCTCTCCCTTCTCTGTCTTCGACTTCAGGAACCACCGGACCGGCGATGGCGGCTGGACCGCTGTCGGCCAAGAAATCTTCACAGCATCTGCAGCAGCTACAGAGCGCCTCGAGTATCGGCAAGGCGACGAGCCAGGGGCTACGACGACCTGCACTTTCGACAACCACAGGTCCAACGATTGCGTCGTCAATGCCCTCGCATATGGCGCTGGCCACTGCTTTGACAACGACCGCAGAGACACGGTCGATCTCACAGTCGTCGACGTTGGTGGATAGCGAGGAGATGCGCTCGGTAACCTCCTCGCGTTCTTCTTCGGGATTGACGACCATCGGTGTTGAGCCTGCAACCGAGGGGTGGGCGATCGGTGGTGAGCGACGACGACCCAATCTGGGAGCTGCGGTTGCGCCGTTGAAGAAGCAAGGGTCAAAGATGGTGATGACCGAGAGCTTTAGTAACTCCTCCTCAGTTTTGGGTGTCGAGTGCACCACGCCCGCAACACCGCTCCCAGGGTATTTGGAAAACCAGAACCAGGACCAGAGTCAAGACGAGGCCGGTGAGAAGTGGAAGGTTATGTCGAGCGGTAATGGAGTGGCCGCAGAGATCGAGGCATCCTTCCGACGGTACCAGAAATATAGCGGTCGACATTCGCACCCTAAAGGCCGTTCGTCCTCTTCAGGCAATCGCAGCCGAATCCCTAGCTACGACGATGAATATGAAGAAGATGATGACGACGATGATGGATACGAGAGCTACGGATACGGCGGTAATTCCGCCTCCTCGCAGTCGTCGTCGTCTGTGGGGGTGATCACACCGATCCCATCGGACCGACATATGCAGGTGCTGAAGGATATTCTGATGGAGGGATTGGGCAGGGATGTGGCGAGACAGTATATGTTCAAGCACGGAGAGCAGGATCATGTGAGGTTCTCGGTCGAGGTGATTCCGGGGCTGCTGGGACACTTGAAGGGACTCCAGCAGCGACTGGGGGATCAGTTGATGGAGTTGCAGGCCTTGACGATCGTTGCATAGACAACACCCACACACCCACACACCCACACACATACATACGCACTCCTCGAGGGATGTGACTCTTGTTCTTTTTTTCGTTTTTTTATGAATGTTTTTACCATGCGTTGTGTTTTCCTTTTTTTTTACAGTCTATTAATTGTACATAGTTTCTTGCTTCTTTGCGTCTTGATTATTCATCTTCCTGTTATGTATGCTTCTTGGTTTCTTTCTTTTCTTTCTTTCTTTTTTTTTTATGTTTATCAAAGTGGTAGAAGCGCCGAGTTGATCTCG